CAGTCCACGGCCCTTCAGCCAACTTTCTCACCTTCGCGAGCGTCTTCTTCTGGGCCCTGAAGTTTTTTTGCCGAGTCCGATAATATGTTTCCTTAAAAACAGATCAGCTTCCTTGGATTAGTCCGCTGATGTTTTTTGGTACGGAGTCGAGTCGTCTGTCGGTGCTCCCGGACAAAACCTGACTCCTCCCTTTTACGAGTGTTTTTGTTTGGCTTACTTTCGTTTTGGTCCATATTATTCCCACGAGTAATGGGGAAGCGTACGTCCAGTCCTGCGGAGCCCACTGCGAAATTTGCCCGATTCCCAGAGGCTCCGTTTGCGCCGTAGCTTCTCACCGCCATGCACCCATTGGCACGGATCGCTTGACACCTTGGGTTGGTTCTATTTTTAGCTGTCCTTAGCTTCGCTACTTCTAGAATTACTGAGCCCTTGGAGAATTACTGAGCATTTTTAGGTGAGGTCGACAGAAAAGGATGGTCTACTTCCCTAAGAGATTATGGGATACAAATTTATTTATTCACAGAATACAAAACTGTCGAACATCGAAACATTGGTACAGCGCACCTGTTTTTTGGTCTCAAACTGAAAAAATTTGTTAATTAATGATGGTAGCAAAAAAACAAATAGGAATGAACGTTTGGCTCAAGTAACAAATGAAGGATAATGATGACTTGATAAATCTTATCAATCAGTGCATATATCAATATGTTCGGAGCACGTCCATGAAAGCCAAGGAATTATATAACTTTCGAACTTCGCGCCAAGTTCAGAGTGGTTCCGAGCCAAGCCATCATATAAATGATATTATATTCATAACAAGACTTACCTGTTTTTAAAACGTACTTTTTCTTATTTAAATTTCAGATCAGCTATATTTTTTTTATCATCTCTAATTTCCAAATTATGGCCGCGAATTGAATTAAATATTACCGTGCAGGACACAACATTTAATCATCCATCTATTATGAGATAATGTTTCCCAAGAACCAAAACGATGCGCGATGACTCACAAATATAGAAATCTAAAATTAACCATTCAGTATCCATAAAAAAAATGTAGGCATCCTAGATAAAATTATTTAGATAAAAAACCAAAACATGAATGGATCCCGCGAAACGGAAATTTGTAAAATCTTTGACTTGGCAGAATCTCTAATTGTTGTTTAGTAAAAAAAACTTTCGACGCACTCTCTCTCGTGTGTATGTAGGTATGTAGAAACTATGGCATATGGCATGCGAGCTTTGGATCTGGTGGGAGAGTCTGTATACATTATCCGAAATATTTTATTAATCAATTGGGATGAATCAGCATTCAAATATTTTTCTGTTAGGTAGGTGTACATACATTGGAACATGTCGTATTTATTTTTGTATTGATTCAATCTTTGTTCTGTCCGTTTTCATCTCAGCATTCTCAACTGATTTATACGTCGGTTTACTGACGTCTTATTTAAATACCTACTTATTTCGCTTTTAAATAGGTTCTATGGAAAATTTCGGAAACTGCTTTTACCTAGGTACATCATCTCAAGAATTTCAAGTTTCGATAAGTCATGTGGTTAGTTTTTTGGAAACGATTGTTTGAAAGTTTCGGAAATTTGAGAAAGACATTTTGTTATGCTTCCATTCGGCAACATCTTTTTTAAATTTTATTATCCTATTAAATCTTGAATCGCTTTACATGATATTGAAAAGCGCCAGAATTATTGTATTTTATTGAATGTAAACATAATGCATTCGTTTCAATTTATCCAAGAAAAAATTCATCAACTAAAACAAAAACCTAAATACGAATTTGCTAATTTGTCTGCATTAAAATATTGAAAAATATCAATTTGGTACCTACCCTTATCTTATGGACCATTTCCACAGCTTATCCATTTCGACCTAGATTTCGACAATATCTATGTTGTGGGCACCTACCTAAAGTTTTTCAAATTAAAAGAACCAAATTGTAATCACACGAAAAATTGAAAAAGTTTGAGTGGCGTGGTCTCAACCTCAACCATTTCTGATTGTTCTCTCTTCTCTTCTCGTTGAGAAAACTATAGACAACTTTTTTTAATTGTGCTATGCCAACGGTGCTTTTGTTTTGCATACGTAATACCTACAAAGGTATTTTTAATTTTGATTTGTTCAAGTATTCAAATTTATATTTGCTTCACACAATACAAGAAATGCCATTGAATGTAAAAATGATGGGAATATATATTTTTTTCAATTTCATCAAGAATTTTTTTAATCAGGGCGAATTGCCAATTATTGGTATACAAATAAAAATTAATATGTTTTTCGATAAAGATGATAAAATAATAGAAACTATTACATATTTAGTTAATGCAGCCCTTATAAATTTATTATTTGATCATACATTTTAAAATAGGTAGGTATTCAATTTTTTCGTCAAGTGTGAGCATTAATAATTCTGATGAAAGCAGTGTAAAAGTGTTCAACTTATTGATGGGTGTTTGATTAATTGAAAATGATTATTATTATTGTGAATTATGAATTTTTTCAACAACTTGAAAAGAACTTCAATATTTGCTAATTCGTGGGGACAGTATAGAACCGCTCCAAATTTTCTGGCGCTTCTCCAAATTTTGAAAAACTGCACAAAAATCCACCGGAAACCTTATTGAATGCTGCTTTCATAATATTTTGATAAAATATTTTCAAAGTAATTTCCGAGGCAATTCCATTTAAATAAAGTTTTACATTACCTACGATTGATCTACCAAATTCAAGCTTTCTTTTTATTATTAATTATTGTATCTACAAAAAATTCTTTCAACGTAGACTTATTTTCGACATTCTTTTACGTTTCGGAATTCAAGATGTGGTATGTTCAACAATAATAAGCATATCATTAATCCTTTTCAAATTGTAATCAAATAAAGGAAGTATGCTTTTCATACTCATAAAATGCATTAGGGAAATCAATGTTTAGTACTTATTTCAAAACACAAGTGATTCTTTTGTAGCCCTGAATATGGTTTTCGCTCGGGTACAAATACAGATGATGCCATTTTGTCCTTGCTCCATCAGGTTTATCAAAATATAAATTGTGGCGATGCTGTTGCAGCAATATTCTGTGATTTTTCGAAAGCATTCGATTGTGTGGATCATGGAGTGTTGCTGCGGAAGCTGAGGCACTATGGGTTTGGGGAGCTTAAAATGAAATGGGTTTCTGCATATCTTAAGGGAAGAATGCAAGTGGTAACAGCGGATGGCGAATACTCTGATAGATCATTTACTACAAGAGGCGTTCCACAAGGCTCTGTTCTCGGACCCATTTTATTTTTGTTGTATTTGAATGACTTAGCAGCTTTAAAGATTCAGGGTTCGTTTACATTTTTTGCGGATGATACTAGTCTTCTTTGGCATGGTAAAAACAGAGATGACCTCAAATTAACAGTTGACAGGGACCTGCGTGAAGTTAAGCTTTGGTGTGATGCAAATTTGCTTTGTTTTAATGTAAATAAAACCAGCATGATCACTATTGGGTTTCGCTACAATGATTTGTATTTGATTGATGAAATTGTAGAAAATAAACCCCTTATAAAATTTTTAGGTCTCATCATAGACAATATACCTACTTAAATTTGGAGACCATATAAGGGCACTAAGTAAAAGGTTGTCTCCTGGTTGTTTTGCAATCAGAATAGTTTCCAACGAGCTTAGTTGTTCTACCACAAAAATGGTTTATCACTCACTATTTGAATCTCTTGTGAGATATGGTATAGCTTTTTGGGGATTTACTAACAGACAACAGTTTAATTCGATATTTGTGTTACAAAAGAGGGCAATTCGTTATATGTGTAAAGTTGCAGGTCGTGAACATTGTCAACCGCTATTTATTAGGGAAAAAAATTTAACTGTATCATGTTTATTCATTTTAGAAACGGTGTGTCTTGTGCACAAGAAATATTCAGGTTTGGAAACTCGGGATATTGGTTATGTTATTGGGGTCTCCTCAAATTATCGTATTGCCCGTTAAAATTATTATACACTAATATTAGGAAAAATATATTGAGCGTGCCCGTATACATTGGATGCGAATCCACGTGCGAACAATGCATCTTATTGGTTGTTTTATACAGTCAACGTTGACAACGTTGAATATCTTATCGGTTAGATTTTTTTAGCGGCGTTTTTGGCGGCATATTTCTTTTGAGCGGCGTCTTTCGCGGCATATCTCTTTGAAGCGGCCGCCGCTTGCTAATCAGTTTCGTCTGGAAAGACAGTGCAGTAGATAGTTTTTATAAATTTGATTCCTATTTGAGTTGTATCGTGCCTCATGTTTTATTTTATATAAAACTATTTTAATAAATTTCTCTTACTCCGCCAGTGCTTCATAAAGAAAACGCCGACGGCCAAAGGAATATTATTTTTTTTGACTGTCTCATTTGACTATCGATAGACTATACAACACTAGAGTAAGTTCGAACAATGATATAGGCTTACCTATACCAAAGTCTGCTTTAGCAAAACACTCAATATTCTATGAGAGCAAAAAAATGTTCAACCATCTAAGTGATGAACTTAAAACGATCAGAAACTACAAACTATTTCGTAGGAGTGTTAAGGATATTTTGTTGCAAAGGGCTTACTACAGCTTGGAGGACTACTATAGTGACACTGTATGACTATACAACCTTTTTTGTTTTTGAGTACTTTTGTCTTTTATCAATCAACGCTTTTATTTACATTTTATCATTTTAGTATAGTTTTAAGTATATGTAATATTGCTAGGATCACCGTACTATTTGTCTTTTTTTTTAACTTGTTTGTATTTGCATTGTTGTACTATTGGTGATTTTTTTTTCTGTTTTACTTTTAAGTTAATGCTTTGTCAATAGAATATATTTTCTTGGATAATAAAGTAAGATTGACTATAACACAAACGTAATGTCGAAACGTTGCGTATGATAAATATTTCTAGATTAAATTATTCCGGTGTAATGAATTATCACTAATATTATCTTTTTTTCTCATTTCAGATAATTTACCCAAACAAGGCCCTACCAGAAAACCCTTAAAAATGTTGTTCTCTGTACCAGCATCAACTGACAAAATCGAAAGTGCTACTCTTCGGTTGCTTTTACCTCCTCAACATAATGATCCTAGGGTCATCAACATTGCAGTGAATCAAATTCTTGGCACTCGAAGAAAGCGATTTATAAAGGAAGAAATATTTTACTTATCGAATAACCTTACTAAGTGGTGCGAAGTAGACGTTACAGACGCCGTTTTATCCTGGACGAGAGGCCAGAAAAATTTGGGATTGGAATTATTTTGTAGGAATTGTCACAATAATTTGAACCCTTCAATATCAGCTATTACTGCATTGGTTCATTCATCTTCCAGGAGAAAGAGATCGATCGGTGTCAGTAAAGGCAGAACTGATTGTAGTTTGAGACATCAAAAGGGCAAAGGCAAAAGGAAATGTTGCCGGCATGAGATGCACGTAACCTTTACAAAATTAGGTTTTAAGCAAATGGGTGACATACTGGAACCTAAAATGTACGAAGCAGGGTACTGTCAAGGAATGTGTCCACCGAATTATAACTTGGCCACTAATCATTCTAGAATACAAGGACTGATGCATCAGCTCAACAAAAGAGAAGCGAGGAATTTTAAAAACAAGACCATGGTAGTACCAAAGACTTGCTGTGCTCCATCAAAACTAGGAGACTTAGATATATTGATTGTCGACAGTCAACAGCCTGATAAGTTGAAAGTCGAAAAGTGGCAAAATATGAGGGTTCTGGAATGTGCATGTTCGTAAACATTCAATTTTCTTGTAAATAACCAATATCTTAGTAGGTATATTCACGTGGTAGGTACCTATATTAATTTCAAACCTGGTCCACCATATATATTTTTGGTGGGTTAGTACCTGGATAAAAATACATATTATTAGCAATGACAAGTTATCTAAAAAACAATTGAATGGGTACTACTGATGTAATTTACGGGTCGTACTGAGCATTTCGTAGTATTCGTAGTAGACTAGTTTTAATTTTCTTCAATAGTAACTTTTTTAGTTAATAATTTATTATTATTTGACCAGTATTATATTTTAGATATTTAGTTTTTTTTTTTTTTAATTTAAGTACCTATGTAATTTAATTAGACATTTCGACTCAAAGCGTATTTTTTTATGGAAAGACATAGGTGTTGTATTTATTCTCGATCTTACCGGAAATTATCTCTTACAAAGTCTAGGTAAATGGTTAATATCGAGGTTAATATACATGGTAAGTTCAAGTGCAAATAATATAGAATCTTCGTGAAAAGCACCCCTATAAGTGGATTTCTTGAAAGGAAAATACGCTTTTCATGTTCAAAAACGGTGGCTCCAGAAAACTAAGAACAGAGATGTAAAAAAATTTGACCATGTGCACTCACATGCAATTGGGGTCAATTTATTAAAGCAAAAATATTCGCTCTTTTCCTATGTAATTAAAAATTATTTAAATATATAATAGGGTTCCTAGTTTACTTAAGAAAGTTAGATCTAGAAAGGGATAGATCTTATATCAAATTCACATAAGTAGATATCTAAATCGATCTGTTATTTGCGATCAGCCGATTAAAGTAGAAAAAACGCATGAATACATGAATAGAATCTAAATTTCCATAACATTTTTCATTGGATATTAATTTCTTGTTGAATATTTAGACCCATTGTTTGGGTTAGTTACTTGGGCACTTGATTCTCATTTAACTTGAAATAGCTTTATTATTAATATTATGTATTATATAAATTCTGTGATATATTTTTCGGTTAATTCCCATATTGTAAAAGAACTAGTTGCATCAACCTTACATGGATTTTGAAGTATTTTATGCTTTTATATTGATATAACTGATTCTACTGCTCCAAATGGGTAATTTAATTTTTTACCGCATTAAACGTGTGCGTGTAATTTTATTCTATGTAACGTTGAAGAAGAGCATTTAGTTATATGTAGTTACAGAAATAAAGTATTAAATTTTGCCAATCTATTTTTATAGAAGTGTGGTTCTTTTATCCTTTATTTTATTCCTCTAATTTAGGATTTTAACTTATTTTTTTATTGTTCTAATAAAATAGGTATCTATTCAAATTAGCTATGTGATTTTCATTAGAATGGAATAATTTATAAGAAAACAAAAAAACGAAAATTAAAAAAAATGCCAAGAAGTCGTTACAAAAGGATTTCTTGAAATTTTGAAGACTTAGAACCTAATAAATATACAAAAAATAGAGTAGGTAACAAACCTTTGAGCACCTTGTTTTTAATTTTTCATAAATAAATTGAAAACTTTTTGAGATGTTTTTATTTTTTAGATTCAGCTTTATCCCAAAATCCCCTTTCTAATTCCTGATACCTCATGGTACTTTTTATTAACTGGCAAACACAAAACTGAAAAAAAAAGGTCAGCTACTCTACTAAACGAGGATACCAAGCCGACGCCAAACTCGGTCTTCTTGCCGAATAGAATGCAAAAAAAACTACATTTGAAATACCTAGTCAACAATGGCAAATCAAAAAAGCTGAAAAAAGAAGTAAGCTGAAAAACAATTCATGTTTTCATCTGGGCTTATATTATTTACTGGAGATATCCATTGTACTTATTCCTAATCAATTAGTCTATCAATGTACCGCCTTATAGGCTGGGAGTCTGGAGTTTCACGTTATACGCTGGTACTACGTCGATAGATGGTACACTCACAGTTACGGCCAGAAGTCGATCTTATTGGTCGTAGTATTTTCGCGCCAATTTTGGTCCAATGAATGTAAACGTAATCCGACATCGGATTGATCGGATGAGTTCAATTTAAATTTTTGTACGAAATCCTACGATTTGACAGCTAATGAATCGGTACTACACGCGAGGACCGGAACTGTCGATTTTTCGCCGGTAGGTACCAATACCAATAACCTCCAATCTTTGTCTATTGTTGCATCGATTTTCGCGATATTTTACTTTGAACTTTTAGTTCACAGTTCAGTCAACTCGTGAGTTGGCGAAAATACTACGCACTCAGATCGACGTCTGGCCGTAACTGGGGTTGTATCATCTATCGACGTAGCTACCAGCGTATGACGTGAAACTCCAGACTCCCAGCTTATAAGGTGATACTTTAGAAGACGAATTGATTCAAAACTAGCCAGGAGACTTGATTTTTACTTCGCTAGACGACATACGTATTGTCGACATACTTACCTAATCCTTGAGAAACTCATGTATGTTTTAAGGACTTTTTTTAAAATTTATGTCGCATTCGATTCGTCCTAATATGAACGTTATAAAACGTCTTATGCTAGTCCTCGGACGTACAAACGCTTAAACAAACCTGAATCGAAAATATTGTGCTATAAAATTAGGGGAAATTTAGATGTCGTTAAAAATCAGGGCATGGATGACAGGACGAATTTAATTTCCTCGTGCAGCGGTTACTCACATAAGAGATTTCACTCTGAGAGATTCAAAGAAGAAAGATTTAAAAATAAATTTCTCTAAACAAAGCGACAACGCCATCTAGTTAGGAAACGAAAGGATACTGCCAATTGTGCTATCAGAAGGAAACTGCAAATCATGACATAAAAAAAATCCATTTTATTCGGTATGGATGGGCATATTTTCGAAATGTTACAGGCGGGTTCACTGGTTGCACAAAAGTTGGCTTCAGTTATTTGCAACCTGAAACTGGTTAAATACCTTTGAAGTCGCAATAAGCTCATCTCTGACAAAGAGTACGAGCTTATTCGTTCTAAAAGATCAACAGGGAATCTGCCAGTCATATTTGGAACTCGACTACTCGACTCTAGAAAAACCTGGCGAATCCTGAACTGTAGCATCGGACATCTCCAAGGCTATTGATTAGGTGTGTCACAAAGGTCTCCTCACCAAACTTCCATCGTATGGTACCTAGGGAGCTTTTTGGAAGGCAGGCCGGCAGGCCACTGCATGTTGTGGACAATGGTGTGTCTTCTGATACACTGCCTATAAATGCTGGCGTTCCCTAAGGCTCAATTCTGTGCCCGCTACTATTTCTTATTTTTATGAATGATTTGTTGAACGTGACAAGAAACCCCATCTACAGCTTTGCGGACCATATATAGTAGCTTGATATGGCATCTTTCTCTTCTGACAAACCACTTACTGCATCAGTGATCTTGATGTCATTACCAACTGGGGCCTTAACAACCTAGTCAAATTCATTATTCAGTGCTTCCAAAACTCAAGCAACATTATTATTCTTAAATAATAAATCTTCCGCCTATGATAACCCAGTTTTGAGGATGCCTGGACAAAACCTTTCTATCAATCTCTCAGTAGGTATCTCTTCTTGAGGTGACCGCATCCACCAACTTGTCTTGGCATGACCATAGCCGTTTTCTCGCGTCCACTTTTTTGACATTGGTTCAAAACCGGTTTGAAACAGTTAATGGAAACACCATTGCCCGTTTCAAACCTGTGTTTGTAGGTTTTCTTTTTATCTATAAGTACCTACTGTGTTTATGTTGTTAAAGATATTTTAGTGATAACTAAATAACTCTCAATACTGTCAAATTATTGGGAAATGCTTCCGAATACGGATACGAGAAGAGGCCCGTAACGATCTTGCGTAACGAAACGCAACGAAACCATCGTATCTATTCTGCGCATGCGCAGATCGATGCGTGGAAGACTCTCATTTCAAGGAATACTTAAGTATCGTTAAGGATGCCCTGAAATAGTTGGTGGAAACGGCCATAAGCAAACCCCTTAATTTTTCTACGTATCCGTATCCGCATCCGTAAACGCATCGACTTACGTTGACGGCCTTAAGCCCATTTGATAATGGACGTAACGTAACCGTAAAGATGTAACATGTCATAAGCATGCGCACATTAGATTTATTTGAGTCAAATATGTCACCGGAAACGCAACGTAAGAGAAAATGAGAGTTGGTCATCCCTACGTTGCGAGTTATGATATTGGTTGTGTTTAACGGGACTCAGCGTAAACCCGCTAGCGCTGAAAGCGCTAGGAGGCGCTAACTGTAGCCGTTGAACGACCTATTTATGTATCAAGATTTTTTCTAAAGTTTCTTTTCGCTTTTTATGCTATAATATAATATTTTTTCCATCCAAAACCATTTCTCCTTGATCATGGGTAACAACTATCCAATTAGATGATATAATGCCATCGGCATTTCCATAATTATGGACATTTATGACATTTCATATCAGCGGTAACACAGCTAACTAAAAATAGCACTTCTCAAATGAGCTTAGTGGGCCGATAAGCGCTTTTGCGCTACCTAGCCGTTTATCGGTCAATTAGCGGAAAGCGTCTGCAAGCGCTAGCACCCGCTAAGCCCCGTTAAACACAGCCATTCTTTTCCAAAAATTAAAGGAAATTAATTCCAATGGGGCAATCCAACGACCTGTCAAAATAAAATTCAAAATGGAGGTCAATGCCTTTTTATTTAAAAAAAAAATGCCGATTTATTGCGATTTTTAATTTGTATAAAGTCTCTGAAGTGTTGATTTTTAGGAAAATGCATACGTTATGTATTGTCCTTAGTTGTGGAAGCCATTCTAATCGCGAGAAAGTCTCGTTTCATGCCGTTCCTGCAGAGACAAAACACAGGTTAAAAAAAAAGTCTGTACCTACTTTGTAAGGGCTTCATGGATTGTTGCAAAAGAGAAAAAGTATGACGAAATCCATATTGAAAAAAAGTCTCTCTACAGTCTCTACATTAACGGTGTATGGATCCAAGCCATTTACTGTCCTGTCTATGCTCCACATCAACTTGTGTCGATAACTTGAATAGCAGACAAATAAAATATAAAACATACATCAGGATTTTGTTGAGAAAAAACTAAACAGGAAACAAATCCTGGATAGTACCTACCTAATTGCTTAGTAGGTAAAGCAGGTTTGTCACAAAGAAATCATAACTTTTGTAAACATCCGGGTTTTCCAATAATAACTAGAAAATCATCTAAAAACACCACATAATACACAAAAAACAGTTTTTTGATGAAAAATGGGTTTTTTGGATTAAATTTATGGCGCCAATTTTTTGGCATTGGCCGCCATTTTGTTTAGATTGCCCCTATGCAACAGTTGAGGTTAACGTGTTTAGGGTGGGCAGACAAGGAAAGAGAGAGGACGCGTAACATCCTTTACCTGCACTAGCAGCTGGTTGTGACCGATTGCCACCAAATAATGGCGACAAATTTTCATGGTGTCACTATGTGAATTTTACTTCAGACTAACATTTTTGTAGTATTCAGCATGGTGGATTGCTAGCATATGGCTGCAAAACCCGCAGAGAAAAAAAAGTCGACGGGATTACATTTAACAGGCAAAAAACAATATGCTTTCTAGGTTATGTTATGAAAAAAGCAAACATTTTTTGGTGGCAAACTGCTTTATTTACACCTGCTGTGATACGAGTCCCCTCTCTTTCCTTGTCTAAGAGGGTGGGTATTATAAAACTACTTTGAGAGTTACCTTAAAGTTAACTTCTGGAATTACATGTAATTCAAAAAGTTAACTGTGAAAGCAGTTTTATAATACCCGCCCTTAAACGGAGGGTTAATCCGGGTTAATTGTTACTTAATTTCTTCCGCTGATGGTAGGTACCCGGTAGTATAGACTTTGTCTTTTGTGAGCGGCCCAATATAAAAACAGATTTCATAAAATAAGTAAAAATAACTCAAACACACAAACAGGAAAACAAAAAACGAGAGCCTTCCAACATCCAAGTAATTTTTAAAAGTATTTCGAAAATAAGTCTACCAGAGCCGCGTACTTTCTAGGACAAAATTTTCCAAGGACTGAAACAACATAAAAATTGAATACACCACTGAAAAAGTAGGATTCACGCGGAGTCGCTCTGGGTCAGTCGCAGATGAAAAGATCGCAGTTCGTATCGGAGTCAGTTTGGTAAGAGTTAAAAAAAAACTTCAAATGAGCGTTCCAGAAACTGCAAACACAAAGATGTGACGTGAATTGAAATTGTCTTGTCAGCTAGCTTAATAAACTAAACTCCCAGAGGCATTTTGGAGGTACTTAAGAATATTAACCGTTTAAAAATTGTAACCTACTCCGTTACGTTTTGTCACGGTTATCGTGAAAGCTCACCTTATTGGGCGCGTTCAGATTGAAGAGTCTGGGCGACGTCCAGTGCAGAGCGTACCCGATAGAGAGTGCACTCCGAGTGTGCCTGGCGATTCGCTCAATCTGAACGGCCAAGACGCATTCTCTCCTCATAACATCACTATTTATGGTATGCTTTGATTTTGATTTTGTTGCCTTTTCAAAATTCACTGTGTTCGTGATTCTAACATTTTTGTAAAATAAGAAAAAAGAAAATTCAAAGATAATCAACTCTTATTTTATTTTATTTTGATTTTTTTGGTAGAACTATCACATATAAAATAATACCTCTTAACCCTCAATTCTTATTTTAATTTATTTCCTATTTTATTTTATTTGTTGGATAAACTCGCCATAACTCCCAACAATAATGTTTACAATATTTGCCTTTATTATTGGTTAGAACATAAACATAACACAAACGCGCATGCGGGGCAAATTTTATCTTACTATTTTATGGGATGCAAAAGTGTGCGTCGGGGTGTCGTCAGGTAAAAATCTACTGACAATCTGAACGGCTGGGTAAATTTTACCCAAGGCAATCTGAACGGTCAGAGCGCGCTCGGGCGACAACCGACGTTCAATCTGAACGCAGCCATTGATATGACACTAGATTAGAAAGTGATATGTAAATAGTAAACATAACCAGAACAATCTGCTCCCAGAATTTTTAATAGTAATAACTTGGTCACTATTTTGATTTTGTAATAAAAATTAACTAGGTACTGAGCTCAAAAACAAATATAAATCGCATTTTAAAACGTAACCATACTGTTCCATTTAAAAATGATTTTGCCAATTCAGCAAAATTTGAAATAGTGATGATATTCAATATGCGAACTGGTGTCAAAGTTTACTGGTGTGCTCGTGGATTTGAAAAATTTCATTATAAAATTCAAAAAACTTTATCAGTAGTGTTTGATATGTAATCACAATAAATGTTCAAACTCAGTTATCAAATCAAAAAACGCTTAAATCGATATGAATCCCAAATATTCAAGAACTTTATTTTTTTTAATATTCGTCATTATTTTATACAAAGCCTTTAAATTTTTTATATTTCCTGTAAGGCCTACCATAAAACAAATCATTATTGAAGACGAGTCTGGACAGAGGACTGAAAAAGTTAAGGTATCTGTACATTACGAAGCCTTATGTCCAGACTCGAAATTTTTCATAACTCACCAATTAGTTCCGGTTTATAATGAACTGAAGCAATTTTTATTATTGGATCTGATTCCGTATGGAAAGGCTGAGGTAAGTAACTGAAAAACACCGTTCTAAAAAGAGTACAGCAGTCAAATATTTGCGAATCAACTTTACTTTTTTCAAGTTGAATATGAAATATAATATCATTCCTATGATACAATGTAATAATTAGAACTTTTATACAATTCATTTAACTTATTATAATTTATTGTACTCAAAGTATTAACTGTTCTAGGCTGTTCAATATTTCAACTGATACTGTAGGAATAGAGAGTGAATTAATGATTTTTTTCATTAAAATATGGTTTAGGCTCTAACTTGAAATGACAACTGATAAAAAAATTGTACAGTGTGAGCGAAATATTTCATTGGTGTGATTTCTATTCAAAAGAAATATGCTATTCAAAAAATTTGGGTTTTAAAGTTAAAGTATTTTCTTTCTCTGGGTGCTAACATTCTGAAAAAAAAAATGTAAAATAAAATTTCTAAATTTATTCAAAAGAAAGATAAGCGACTGTGATATTAAGCTGATAAGAGCAAATATCATTCATTTAAGTATTTATGTCAAAGGTCGAGAAGAGGATCTGGATTCTTACCTGAAAAACCCGAGAACAAACCCAGTGAAAAACCTTCCAAATAACAGATTTCTAAATTTAATTTTCAGAAATTTTCTGGGAAAAAATGCATTCCCAAAAAAAAAATCTCTGGTTTTCACAATCTGAGTACTCTATAGAGATCACAAAAATAATACTTCCATAGCAGAATTCAAGTACTTAAATTAGAGTTCACTAAAGATGTTCCGACACCCTGTGACCTGTAGAAACTGCTTTGTTTTTTATCTGTCGTTGCTCTATCTGTTCTCACGGCTTCAACAAATCAGCTCTTAGTATGGTACCTAGCACCACCTATCCACTTTAATACTATAATTTGATAAATAAGGTTAATATGTAGCTGGAAATTAAAACATTATACCTCGACACACACATTTTCACTGCTAGATAATATATTCCTACAAAATATATTCCTACTGTTTCTGCAATACATAAGCAAATAATGGATTAGAATAGATATCATAAACTGTTATCAATAAAAAAAAAATTGGCTGCATTTGATAAGAATAATATAATAAGCTTCTTTTGTTTTCTAGACTATAATTGATGAAAACGGAAAAATTGACTTTCATTGCCAACATGATCAGGTTGAATGTTTCGCCAATAAAATCCATGCTTGTGTGATTGATAAGATAACCGATCCTGAAATTCAGGTGAAATTTGTGGCATGTATGATCACTGATAACTTATTGCCTGAAGATGCTGGCGAAAGGGTATGTATCATTTAATTTGAAACAATTGCATGAATAATTAGCCTCCATCAAGTTAGCATTACAAATTGCAATAAAAAAATTATATACTATGGAAAAACATCCAATTGATTAAAACGGAATTTAAAGTTTTAAGTATTGCATTGTTCATATAGCTTCCATGTAGTGAATTATTCTCTGAAACAATTTTGAAACAAAGAAATTTGATCTTATGTTCTCCATTGTTTTTAAATTGTACGCAAATCAATGTTTCTACCAGTTAATATGTAATTTAGAAATTTACTCGATCTCAAAATTTCTAAATCCCGTTTTGAACAATGAGGTCCACACTGTGTAAACTTAGAATCACTTAACAACTCGAGCGTGATAGGACATTTCCTTGCGAGTGCGCATATCCGTAAAAAAAAATTTTTTTTTTGTTTTGCAACAAATTCATTTGGTTATGCTAACTTGATGGAGGTGGAATAATAAATTTTGAACTTCAATAAAAAAAATTTTAGTGTGGTCGTGAGCTAAATTTAGATTTTTCCCCTATTAATAAATGTGCAATTGAACAAGAAGGCTCGCTTTTGCTAAAGAAACATGGTGAAAGGACCAACTCCCTACATCCAAAAGTAAAATTTATACCTACAATTGAATTGAATAATAATCAGAGTTTTGAAACTCAGGCAGTCATCTTAAAAAATCTTTTGATTGCTGTGTGTCGAGTATATCAACATAAACCCCCTATGTGCAGTAAAGCGTAGGTTTTCATATTATAAATTATTTTAATGAAATCCCGTAGATAAATTGTGTGAATTAAAATATATGTAATTTTTCAAATTAGATAATTTCATCACTTAATTAAACAAATTAATATACCTACATACATATTTATACTTTGATAGTCGCAAAATAGTATAAAATAATGAATACTTATCAAAATTAACTAGTTATAGCAATTTTTGACAAACAACTTTAATGTGTCCCCAACAATGTAAGATCATGACAATTTTGTAAAAAATATTTTAATTTAATACCCAACTTAGAATTTTTGTTGATAATGTTATAAAATAAAAAAATATTGTGTATTATATTTAAGTATTTTATTCCTTGAATGTTTGATTAGACTTATCAGACACCTATCTAAGGGAAGAGGAAATTTGAACAATGGAATATTTTTTAAACTTGGCCTGCATGTCTTCATGAAATAAATGTTCATCACTAATCAGCCCTTGGCATCAAATGCTAAGCAATAGGCCTCCCCAATTCTTACCCATGGCTTCCAGGGTATTCTGCAATCTCTATATGTTGTCAGTCTGGATCGTAGGCTCCACTTGCCGAGTCTTCGACCATTTGTAGAGTAAAAATCAAACGAGAAGAAGCCACTGTCGTCAGCGCTAACAAAGAAAGCAGATTTCCTTTTCTCTGGCTCCCTCCCATTTAAAGTGAGACGAACGATAACGCGTGTGGCTTCTTCTCGTTTGATTTCTACTCTAGAGAATTGAGATTACATGTCCAGCACAGTTTCAGTTTGGCAATCTGCGAGGTAACATCAGTGATTGTCCTCTCACACAAGTTTGTTGTTTGTGACAGCAATGTATATTATTTACAAATTATACTTTGCAATGGATTACAGTCAGGTATATTTTCACTAGGAACTAGGTTTTGAAATTCCCCTTTCTAACATGGCTTTATCACATATTTCCTTAAGGGTATTGGATGCGCCTCAATGCCAAAATATTTTTTCCTGCACGAAGCACCTAACGCAGTCTATCATTGTATTCTTCCGCTCCAATTAATACTCCTTAGTGGGAATGAGATGAATGAAACAAGGAATGCATTGCATTCTCAATTTCAACCTAATTTTTTAACAATTGAAGTTATATCAACTTTCTTTTTTACATTCGATTTATAATATAGGGACGAATGGCGCTATCTTTTTAGAAATCCGATAATAGAAACAAGTTCTCGAAAAATTACAAAAATGTAATTTAAACTGAAAAAAAACAAGAAAGTTAATCAATTTATGGTGTTTTTTTAGTTAGCGCCATTCTTATGTGTGTTAGCAATACAATGGCGCAAACCAGAATTCCAAAAATTATCTAGTTTTTTTTGTAGAAATTTAATCAATTCTTCTTGTCATTTTGCCTGTCTCTGTTATACCCGCAGCAAAACCTATGGCTCTTTCCTCCGCCTGTTTTGCGATAAATTTTAAATCGCTATAATAAAGGATCCAGCGCCAGCCGGCCCAACAGAAGCCCAATACAATAATCGCGATGAACTTCGCATCTTTATTAGGGTTAACTTGTTGGGTAGTCGTATAGTTCGACGTGCATTACAATATATTTTAAACGGCGCATTCAATACCCTTAAGTTTTTGCAGCATTATTTCAATTGTCTTTAGTTTGTAGGGAAATCGAGATTTTATATTAAATAAGTGAAACATGTTTTTTTTCTTCAAGCCTTTGAACATTGCTTGTTCAATTGAGAGTAACTCTTGGACGATACAGATTGCCTTCATGTAGCAAAAATATGCTTGAAAGGCACTCATGAAATAATAATATTTCAGTTCAAATGCAAAATGAAGAAATCCACCAGTGGGATATTCATTTTATTTCATTATAATGCATTTCCTAAATTGCATTCTTCAAGTCAAACACAAAACAGTGGAGGTTTTGTGTTTTCTTTGAACACCATATTATTCTGTTATGATTGTGATAATTAAATCAATTATTAAAGTTTCTAAAATTTATTAATTAATAGTACATTTTATTGCGGATAGTGCAATTAACCAAATTAACCGCCAACACAACATGAGGGGTAATACTTTACTTATAATTGACTTGATTCTTTTTTTTTTCCTCAACTTACATCATATTTGCAATTACTTTCCAACACTTATCCATCTAAATAAAAACTTTAATTAAACCTAGCTAATTTTATACAACAAAATTAACATTTAGCCAAAACAAAAAAAACATAGGTTCACTGGGATATTCATATACACATTGTCATATTACTGGGAGAATATATCAATTTGATACCTACCTAATATCTAAAAATACTTGTGTTAAGAACTTATGAACATATTATTTTTTTCTATAAATTAATTAGTTATACTTTATTAGTGATGTTTTATCTATAAACATTACTTATTGCACAAAAATGTGTAAAATATTTTAAGTAGCATCTAAAATTGTTAGCTACAAGTTGTTGGAACAGGGAGTACTTACTCTGCATCTTGCAAAAAAGATATGAGTTACCTTCACATTGTCTACTAAGCATTGTGCATCATATTATATTTACCTGTGACACTAGAAAAGTTTGCAAGCCAAATAATGCATATTTTTTGTGGACCTCATTGAAATATCAATCAAAGTTTAAATTTTGAGGATAGTGGAAAATACATTTTTCCATTATACAGTTTCAGCAGTATACCTTTTTTAGAATTTAAATTAGGGGTACATACTTAATAATTATTAAGGTGCAAAAAATTTCCCTTATTTTTTCGCTGTTATCAGAACTTAAATGCAAATTTTAAACTTCATAATATAATTGCATTAATTTAGAATATTGTTATTTCTAAGGCCAGGGTTACCAAATTTCTTAGTTTTTAATTTTCGTTCTTAATTCTTAATCTTTAAAAACACCAATGTTGGATAAAATGAACTTTTTAAAAATTAAGGACAAATGTTAAGAATTAAGGAATTGGGTAACTCCAGCCTAAATGTAACATAAATTGTAATAATTTTATTTACGTAAAAACATATGTAGTTAGTTACAACACTTAATTTTGTCCTTTATTTATCGATAGATAAGTTATAAGTAAAAAAATATAGATATGAATCTGTTGTATAACGAGCCTAGATCTAAAATTGTATTAACATAAACTTGGATTTAAAATATTTTACTTCTCATAAATTGCACTTGAAATATTTTTACAGATCAATAAATATCATAAAATGAGCATTGTTATGTCAGACTTATGACTTATATTATCAAAATATCAATAAGGTTTGATTCAAATAAATTAATATAAGTAGGTAATCTTTTTTAAAATCTAATTGAATGGCACTTCAATGTTCAGAATTCTCCCCACTTCAAAAATCATACATGAATATTTGTTTGCCAAAAAAAAAGCTTTAATAAGTTAGGAAATTTTTGGCACAATAATCTGATCTATAATACTGGCATGATGACTTCTTAGACTGGCAAATATTGATCTTAATTTTATTCAGTCTTCGCATTTTAAAGTAATTATTAGTAAGCTTAAAAAATATTAGAAAGATAAAATGGTTGAAATACCTAAAACTGATATCATTTTATTGAAATTCGTTTAACTAAACAAGCCCTTTAATGCAAATTGTAAGAGATTGTACAAACCTCCATATTTAATTCTATTACAAAACATGGATAGGTAATACTAAATATGATAGGTAAATTGGTTTTTATTAATTATTACACCAACTAAAATTAAATCTAAATTTAAATGTGGCAACAATATTTTACAATATAAAACAATCAAAATTAATACATGTGAAGAATAACATAACTGAAAAATATGCCACCAACAAAATAATATATCCTTGCAATATTTGTATGTTATAATACAAGGACATATTTTAGGTGTCAGAATATTTTTCATTTATGGATGTACATTCAGGAACACTATAAGTTATTATGTGAAATAATAATTGTTTGAAAGTATTTTTTCTTGTTCAGCATTAATTTGAAAAATTAGTAGCAGTAGCAATAGGCCATAGAACAAAAAACTCTAGACATATTTTTTTCTTTAAATTTATTTGGGTTGATAACTTGAAATATTATAAAATGCAGGGTGGTCACCTTATAAGGTCTAATCCCAATCAGCTTTTTGTTGTTAATGGTAACCTCAAATATAATGAAGGTTGTTGACAATGACATACATTTTTGTTGTTGGTTGTAGGTGTTTATAAATATGCAATTAAAGGCTATTTGCACGGCTATAACTTGGGGGATATATAATCTAAATGAAGCTTTGAATGTGACTTTTGTAGAAAGAAAAGTCACATTCAAAGCTCCACCTAGATTAAATATTCCTTAAGTTATAGCCATGCAAATAGCCATAACATAAGCGAAGCAACTATTCTAAGCCCGGTATTCATAGACGGGTGCTTGGCTCAAGCTCCGATTTTTTACAGTTGTGAGCATCATTCCGTGTTGTTTGGAATAGCAAATATGGCGTCAAGTCGTACTTGAGCCAAGACGCAACCTTGAGCATCGACTATGAATACGGGCCTAAGGAACACTTGAAAAAGGATACAAAAAGCAAGACTATAAATATGCTCTTGATCCAAAAGGTTCAAATTTATTTTTGTAGGCTACAGAAAATGTGAGAGAAAATGTTATTCACTTTTAAGGTCCTGTAACTAAGTACATATGTAGAGTACCTAGTTCTGAATTAATCAAAATTATGTATCAATATTCAACTTGACAGGCTGTATATTATCTACACAATTTATTTTGTTTTCAAGTTATCATTTGATAATAAGTTCAAACTAAGGATTCTTGGAATAAGATTACACTTGGACTAAAGCTTAAAGTTACTATTAAACAATAGTGTACAATACCAGTTTTGGCAAAACTTTACACCATGCTCAACAACTTTCATATTTAGTATTTTTGTCCACAATAGTTATGGAAGAGCAAAATAAAAATCTGAAAAACGAGGCAATGATGGAGTATTTTTTTTTGTTTGTGTGCTGACTATAAAATACTTTTAAAAACGATACAGGATACCGGATTAAACAAAACAACTTAGTAGTGCCCTAAAGATAGTAGCTATTTACAAATTATTACTAGGAGGCACAAACTAAGAAACAATGGTCCAAACGTTGCCACTAAATGGCTGTGAAAATAGCACTGCCCAAGCCATTGTTGGCAGTTGGAATGTTGAGATTAAAACTACCCAGTCCTGCATCCTAATTCATCACTTTTCTTAGAGAAAACTTTTTTTGACTATAAAATTGAATGTGAGTATGTGCCAGACAAGAGTGCTATAATTTATGATTACTTGTTAGCCAGGTGAGGCCTTCAAATAATCCATCACCAGTTGTAGCACAAGCAGGTTGGACGTACCAGTTTCTATCCCTCATTCGAGTTAATCCTAGTTTTTCCTGGATCTCATGTGGTTTCATGGCCTCTGGCAAATCCTGTTTGTTCGCAAATATGAGTATTATAGCATCCCGCATTTCACGGTCATTGATAATTCTATGCAATTCTTGACGAGCCTCATCAATGCGATCACGATCTGCACAATCCACAACAAATATTAATCCTTGTGTGCCTGTGTAGTAGTGACGCCAAAGGGGCCGAATTTTGTCTTGTCCACCTACATCCCATACATTAAATTTTACATTCTTATAGGTCACTGTCTCTACATTGAATCCTACTGTTGGAATTGTTGTTACCGATTGGCCTAGTTTTAATTTGTACAAAATTGTTGTTTTTCCTGCAGCATCCAAACCCAGCATCAATATTCTCATCTCCTTGTTGCCAAAAATTTTTGACAGTAGCTTTCCCATTTCAAAGGCCTCTCACTTTTATCTAAAACGAATACAATAGTGTAAGTTATAGCAAATTGTTAAGCACATACTTGTATAAGAAGAGAGAGTCACATTTCACAAATAATAACAAATTAGGGCGAAAATTCAAAGAATTTAACTTTTTTAAGACACAACAAAAATAGGCGTGTAAAACGTTGTACGTCACCTACTAACGGTTTAATCACAGAAAAATTTGTTATTACATGTTCTTATGACACACATTTACATAATTATTTGCGTACCACTAAACATTGACAATATTTACAAGTGGGACTATTAAATTCTAGGTTTTTATTATTCACTAATTTGCCAAAATATCCTATGCTCCATATTGTCAATAATTTACTGTCACACTGTCACGGATACCGACGACCGACTCGAGGCCTTCCTCGACTGTTTCTGCGAAGTTGCACGATTCCGATTTGCTGTGATAATTCATCTTTGTTAAGGATATTTGGCAACACTGGAAATAGTCAGAAAAATGAACAGGCAGGAATAAAAAGAAATCGCCTGACAAATCGATCCTCTTTTCTTGCCCTGAAATATTTTGGAATTAATCAAATGTGGGTTCGGCTTGTTCACTCCGAGTGACTCCATTCGCACTCCAGCCGTTCGGGTTTAGGTTCGGGTATTGCTTTTTACCGTATTAGGGGTGACTCCATTAGCTCTGTTTACTCCACTCCAACTCCGCGCTGAATAGCCGAACCCAGCTCAAATAGGATACATTGGCTACATAAGTTGAGTTCGGAATGAGATTTTAGTGTAGTGCTAGTGCGGTGTTCGTGTAGTGCAGTGTTATATCACGTGATGAAGGTTTAATCGGCGGTGTAACACCGAATACACCATCATTTTATACCGACTATACGGTGTCCCACCATCTTCACACTATTGGGGCACCAAATTATTTCCAAGCGCTAATATTGTGTACACCAAACTATCTCCGACTAATTAACGAACGCCACAGTGTCAATAGTGTAAAAAGTGTCGACACTTTCTACCATTCCGAACTCACCTATACTGTTATGGTTGCGGTTGCGGATCATAATCTGTTAGCAAAATTGTACTGTAAAAACGTTTCTGTAAGAACCGTATTCGCTGATGGATAGGTATTTCATTTTAGTTTTTTATTTAAACCCTAGTCAAATAAACAATGTAATTAGTTCTCTGCTTACGTGAAGTATTTAAAGATAAACATTGATTAAGGGCGGGTATTATAAAACTACTTTGAGAGTTAACTTAAAGTTAAGCTCTAGAATTACATGTAATTCAAAAAGTTAACTTCAAGTTAACTGTCAAAGCAGTTTTATAATACCCGCCCTAAAAGCGATTAACCAGTCGGTTATTTTGACAGGTGAACAATGCATTTAACGTCATTTAATAATAATAATTGGGTACATTCAGGCGGTCCCAGCGGCTTAGTTCAGCCACTCAGCGGGAACTTTATTCTCGAAACGGGGAGCAGCGCTCTCATTGGAACGAAGTTTCTGTCTTTGTCGTCCGGCATAACACTGACAATGACAGAGCAATCGTTCTTATTAGTTGTATTCCTTTCAAGAGTTTGAAACACTCGAGCTATTCGCTCGGTGTTCAGTCGCCCCCGATTTGCAGGGAACAGATGCGTGGTGCAACAAACACTTTTCGAAAGGAATAGGGGCGTGAAGCCCCGGAGCTGTTCCGGAGCTCCTCCTAGGTGTGAAAGGAATACAACTAGAACGCTGTTCCTTGGTATCGAGAATAGAGTCCCTGCTGTGTGGCTGAGCTTAGCCGCTGGGACCGCCCTTGAGCCGCTTTCCAGTATGCACATTGGCGCGCTCTAGAGCACCTCGGGGGCGCCACGCACTAGATTTGTACCGTTCCAGTATCATGGCGTGAGACGCCTGTCGCCTGTCTTAGTGTCAAAGATGTCAAATTTTAAAAATAATTATCTGTTTGTTTGTGCAGTTTGATTTTTTATTTATCAAAAATGAAAGAGAATCAAAACTATATATTTTAAAATGTTCAATCTTGAGATATAACAAGAAATAAATAGAGCCGCTTTCCAGTATGGGAGTTTGACGCCCGGAGCTACTCGGGGCGTTGAGCCCCCGAGCTGTACGTACGCGTCAATCTGTCAGGTGTCACATCCGTGGGTGGCTATTTTTTTATTTATTTCTTGTTATATCTCAAGATTGAACATTTTAAAAAATATAGTTTTGATTCTCTTTCATTTATGAAAAATAAAAAAACAAATTGCACAAACAAACAGATAAGTATTTTTAAAATTTGACATATTTGACACTAAGACGGGCGTCTCACGTCATGATACTGGAACGGTACAAATCTAGTGCGTGGCGCCCCTGAGGTGCTCTGGAGCGCGCCAGAGCGCGCCAATGTGCATACTGGAAAGCGGCTTAGATAAATAGCCACCCACGGATATGACAGCTGATAGGTTGACGCGTACGTACAGCTCGGGAGCTCAACGCCCCGAGTAGCTCCGGGCGTCACACTCCCATACTGGAAAGCGGCTCTGAATGTACCCTTTATCTTTTCACGTGGCTCCGGTTTAACTAACCGGGTTACAAAACGGTTAGAGAAATGACATACCGTTTTCTAACCCGGTTAAAGTAACGTGAGGAATACCTACCACTCGAATTTGAGCGGTATGTTGCGGTTTGTTAAACCGGAGCCATGTGAAAAGGGTTATTGCTTCATTGGCTATCTGTCAACTGTGATCGACCGGTTAATCGCCTTTAGTTGATTGTTCTTGCCTAGGGGACTTTCCGTGACCTACCTAGACTAGACAGTTTGGAAATGGAAACGATCAAAAGAGTTCCGCTTTTTGGGAACGCAGCCCTAGAAGGCTCGCAGATAACTAGGAAAAAAGTAACTCCATTATTAAAATAATGTGAAAATTTAGGAGAAATAATTGCTCACGAACTAACCATTTTCTGACCGAACTTCAAGAAAAGGAACTGAGTTGCACGGCGATTTGACACAACTGATGTTAGAATCTTACCTCCCTCTTAAAGCCTAGTACTCAGAACTGCGAAATTCGCATTTTTTTGACATTGCGTTGAAAATTTGACGTTTTATGCGTGTATCAAACGTCAAATTGTCGAAGCAATGTCAAAAAAATCCGAATTCCGCAGTTATGAGTACTAGGCTTTACTTGCTAGACACTCGTATTTTCGACTGATATAATTTTTTTTTTTAATTTAAATTTTATATGTAGCAGATTTGACAACTTTAACATTTCAACGTACCTATATCCTTGCGTTCGGTATCTTGCTCAAAGAGCAGAGCGTCTGAGCGTAATCGCGTGACCAGGGAGCGAACAGAGCAGTTGAACGCTGTATCCGAGTGCCCGAAATTTTAATAAACGAACACAAATGAGCCTGCAACGAGTATACTTTTTAAATAAACGAACTTTACATTCAAGCTCTAAGAACTCTGATCAAAATACCGAACGCACGGTTTGATCAGCTTGAATTGCACGTACAATCAAACCAAGAATGATACACACTACTACTACAGGATGGCCTATCCTCATAAGGCCTGTGTGTAACAAATCCCCAAGGACGTATATTAGGGGTGGGTTTTGGTGGTTCAACCCCGCCCCCCCCCCCCAATTGAACTTAATAAATTATTTTTTTTTTAAAGAAAAATAAACGTTTTTGGGCGTGGAGCCCTTCGGCGATATCTCTGTCAGCTGCGCCTGCGTTGGGCTATAGGTGCAACAAACATCGATTAAAGGCAATTAACCGGTCGGTCATAGCTGACAGATAATCAATAAAGCAAACGTCATTTGTCAACCAATCGGTAATAAATGACAGTAAATGCATTGTTCATCTGTCAATATAACCGACTGGTTATTCGCCTTCAATCGACTAAACACTTTTCGAAAGGAACAAGCGCGTAACGCCCCGGAGCTGTTCCGGACCACCTCCTAGGTGTGAAAGGAATATAACTAATGGGCAATTTTTCGCGAGGATAATCAAGCATAATCTGATTATGCTGGGTATGTGATGTGTCAATTCTGACATACTCCCCTAACTTCCTCCCCATCAAATTCTGGGATACTCGAGGATCAAGAACATCTAATTTCTTCTGTCAAAACAGACCGGAATTCACCTTTCCTACAGTAAAAATCGGCGAAGAAATTAATTAACTCACTAGCACAGCCTGAATAGCGCGAGCATTCCATCGAGGTCTGCGAGTAACGTCATCACTATAAGCTGCTGATAGTGACGTCACTCGCAGGCCCAAAATTTGATGGGGTGGGAGTTAGGGGAGTATGACACAATTGACACATCACATAACCCAGCATCAATGAACTATAGCTAAAAACTGGAATGCGCACACATTGCCATATCTGCCAAAAAAATGAAGCCATGAAAGACAGATGCCACAAGGGGGAATGTTGTTTTTTTCTGTTGCTCGCTGACATATGACGTTTTCGAAAGTTTTGTCATATTTCCCTTCACAGGTTTCATCAATTGGAATACGTGTTGGAAGCAATTTTCGCCATTTAACATAATGAGTGCGACAAAAACAGGTATCCCCTCCGCAGCAGCCGCACGTGTTAGCATTCCAGTTTTTGGTTATAGTTCATTGCCCAGCATAATCAGATTATCCTCGCGAAAAGTTGCCTACTATTACCTTTTTTGGTCATCACTCGACACACAGAAGTGAACCAATATGTTCATAGGACCATAAAGATTTTCATATATGAGGTAATTTGTTGGTTATTTTTCTGGCTAGAGGCAGCAGCGTCAATCAGCGCCATTATGTTCTTGTAATTAATTTTGCGATTTCTTCCCTCTCGATAGATAGCAGCGTCAACGACCGAGCTCGAGCTTTAGCTGCTCCGAGAGCATAATTTATTTATAATCTGCACCAATTTGTCCGTTCTACATTTTTTGTTCAATTATTTATATATTAAATTATTGCATAAATAGGTAAAGTACGAGTATGAATAAATCCGGATTACCAAAGCCGCTTTCCAGTTTGCACATTGGCGCGCTCAAGAGCACCTCGGGGGCGCCACGCACTAAATTTGTACCGTTCCAGTATCATGGCGTGAGACGCCTGTCTTAGTGTCAAATATGTCAAATTTTAAAAATAATTATCCTGTTTGTTATTTATCAAAAATGAAAGAGAATCAAGACTATATTTTTTAAAATGTTCAATCTTGAGATATAACAAGAAATAAATAGATAAATAGCCACCTACGGATGTGACAGCTGATAGGTTGACGCGTACGTACAGCTCGGGGGCTCCACGCCCCGAGTTGCTCCGGGCGTCACACTCCCATACTGGAAAGCGGCTCAAATTGATGTGTCTGCTCGCTTACACGAACAGCCATGTTCAGAGCAGTAAAATGTGTTCCGAGTGACCTAATATTGAATTCACATTTGCAGTGATATTCTTTGGCGATCGAAATTGTCAATTTGATGTCTGCCTTTCCTCTCCTGTTTGCTTGTTAGTGTTGCACTAACTTGAACTGAATTGTAATATTTCAGATTATTGCAGATAATAACCATATTAAAGTGCGACAAGTGAGTGAACCTTGGTAACGTATGAAGTAGCAGAGGGGAAGACGAAAACCTATACTATACGACGCGACGGGTTCCCGACGTGGTGCATTGCGAAAATTGCGTTTACCCTGACGCGACGACCCGCGTATATGTATATTTAATCTCGGGCCAATCAGGAGGGTTATGCCCGCATTCCTTCCACACAGGTTCACTCACATGTCGCACTTTAGTTGTATTCCTTCAAGAGTTCAGAACACTAGAGCTACTCGCTCCGGTGCTAGTCGACCCCGATTTGAAAGGAACAGATGCGCTGGCTTCAGTTGTATTCCTTTCAAGAGTTTGAAACACTCGAGCTACTCGCTCCGGTGTTCAATCACCCTCGATTTACAGGGAACAGATGCGTGGTGCAACACTTTTCGAAAGGAATAAGCGCTTGAAGCCCCGGAGCTGTTCCCGCTCTCCTCCTAGGTGTGAAAGGAATACAACTTTTTGTACATTTGAATGGTTTAGTTCAGACTTTAGCACTTCAGGTGCAACAAACACTTTTCGAAAGAAATAAGCGTGTAACGCCCCGGAGCTCCGCCTAGGTGTGAAAGAAATACAAATAGTTGTATTCCTTTCAAGAGTTTAGAACACTAGAGCTACTCGCTCCGGTGTTAGTCGACCCCGATTTGATAAGAACAGATGCGCTGGTTTTCATGATTTTAAATGGTTTAGTTCAGACTTGAGCAGTTCAGGTGCAACAAACACTTTTCGAAGGGAATAAGCGTGTAACGCCCCGGAGCTGTTCCGGAGCTCCTCCTAGGTGTGAAAGAAATACAATTATTAGTTGTATTCCTTTCACACCTAGGAGGAGCTCCGGAACAGCTCCGGGGCTTCACGCTCTTATTCCTTTCAAAAAGTTTTTGTTGCACCACGCATCTGTTCCCTGCAAATCGGGGGTGACTAAACACCGGAGCGAGTAGCTCGAGTTCTTCAAACTCTTGAAAGGAATACAATTATAATGTACTAAAGTACTAAACATCAAAATGTAAATATGTCCTGTCAATGAATTTGACAATTGCAGAAATGTTGGCTTTTGTTTAAAAATTGGTGGAAGCAGTGGTGTACGTTAGCAGATATTTTGTGCTTCCTTTTCCAACAAGATAACCTGTCCTTTAAGTTTATGGAAAAAAGGTAAGTACTTCCATTTTTCTTATTTTCAATTCGTAAATTGGCAGATAAGTGAATTTAAGTAAGTATTATGATTAGGGCTGTTGCTAAACTAGGGGCTATACAAGTAGCACGTGTTGCTTACATTAGTTGCACGCCTATGGAAAGTCATTTCTATGTTGCCGGTCTTATTGTAAGTAGTAGGTTTTTGTAGCTACCCACCTTGACCTTGATAATAATAAATGATCCAAGCCAAGTATTTTCATTATTTAATTTCGACAATGACTATAATTATATTATCTTAGAATGTTTTGGATTACAGACTCAAAAAAACGGAAGGTAACTCAAATATGTGTCACAATATTCGGTTAGGCATAGTTATAGTGATCGAGCTGGCAACATGGCTGGAACAATGTAGTTTTAGAGGGGTATAGCTTATACCCAAGGAAGCGGCTCCCATCGCTTTTCAGAGTATAGTATTCGGGCGGTTTGAAAGTTTCTTCCATCTTGAATCTTTATTCTTTTTCGAAACGGTCTCGCGTGTGAAGCCGGCTTGAATCCAACATTCCATTAAACGTTACGTTATTTCTACTTAATCTAAAATAATACGGGGTTCCATTTAATTGCCATGTGTTAAAATACAAAATTTTCGGTCAATAGGTTTTCCAGATCAGAATGAACTAGGTAGGAAGTTTTTAAGTGTAGGCTATCTTTTCAAAGTATAGAATGTGGGGAATGGCGTGTACCTAATGCAAAGTTGCTGACTATGAAAATCACTGATTGAGTGAGGCATCAGTCATGTAGTTATGCTGATTATATGTTCTAAATTAGCAAAACTGTGCTTTAGACAAGGTAACTAAAGAGCTAAGCTAACTTTAGCTAGTAGTAGTACTTCACACCATTCCTTGCTATGCTATCTATCTTCTTACCATAGCCTCGAATTGGATATTTATGTAATATTTTATATAATAATATGTTTAGAAAATAATTTGTTTCATGACGAACACAATATAACTTTTTGATGTCATTGTTACTTTTTCCAATATAATTTGCTTGATAATTCCTATATACGACTTGTGATTAATTAACCGCAGATAGTAGCTCAACATAAGGTGAGCAAGGGCACATACCTATTATTGACACCTTCAGAACTTGGCATCAAACTCAATTAAAAAAAAAAAAAACAATTTAGAAAATTGAGTGATGGGCTATATTAAACATACTTAGGGGTAATTATTGTTCATCATAATCCCATAAAAATTAAATGTGAAACATTTAATCATTCCAAATTTCACTGTTTTGTATCAAGAAACATTTATCACAAAATGTTTAAAATAGTCATACCCATATTAAAAAGCAAAAGTACAAAGTTCCAAAGTTGATGGGGTTATAGTAATTGATTATCAAAAATAGCTACAAGCTTAACCTTACTCCGAGACTTTGGTACCCATATAGAAATTTAACAGTCATGTTTTTCTTGTCTCATTCTATATATTTTTGATGAAGTCCAACATTATTCAATTTTTGCTTAATTGGGGCGGTTTGATGTCGTGTATTTTTTTTTTAATCCATGCCAAAACCAGTAATAAAGTCACTATTCCAGTTCAACAAAAGTTAACTTATTATTACCAATAATTAGCTCAAATTAATCTACTAATTATTTCACAAGTTGTTTCACAATTATCCCCCTAATATATTAATTATCTCTTCAATATGTAGGTAACAACTTTGTTTTTAACAAAATATGTTTTTCTTTCAAAATGTTAGATCCTCGTCAAAAACCTTAGGTTACCACAAGGTTAACCATTACCTACACATTTCATTATACCTATCTTCATTTAAAATTTTCACTCTTTCTCATAATCATTTTTTTTCTTCTTAAAAATTCCTGAATTGAATGAAAAACACAAACAAAAATTGAACCACCTTTCAAAACAAAAATTACCTTGAAGGTAGATAATAAAACTGTTTCCATATTCAAAGGCTGAAAATGAAGAATTTTAACTATCCCAATATTCTTAGGTAGTCAAGTAGGTACCTAATTGCATATCAACTACCCTCAAGTTTTTATTGTTTAAACAGCTTTTCAACCAGTTGCTGTTTGTAGTGTTGAGAACCAACAAATTTCTACTTTACTCATTAACATAAAATTCTTCAAATGAGAATAATACATGGTGATGAACTAAATGTAAAACAAAATGATGTATTTGAGCACTTGGCGTTGTCAGCATTTAGTTCAATGTTCCAAAATTCTGTTCACCAATTCCAGTACCATTTTTGGTAGTGAGTACTTCCAAATGAGACTTTTCATATTATTTTGGTATTGATATTGTAGGTGCATACTACTTTACCAAATACAGGGTGGGCCAGCGAAAACGAAACAAGCTCGATATCTCGTATTCATCGTTCATTGAAAAAAATCGCTCGGACTCGTCGATTTTTATTTGGAGGGGGAAATCTTTTGCACATATTTTCAATGTTGTCACTTTTTTTTTCAAATTCAATTCAATTCATTTGCAGGTCAAGCGATACCTCATTTCAAAGGTCATCGAATTCTCTTTTCAACGGTGCCTAGTTTTTTGAATTTACTAAGTTTTTTTTTTTAAATTTTTTTAAAAATTAGAATGTATTTGGTCGAATTTTATTGAGTGATAAAAAAATTCTAGGCTTAAACCTTGTGATTTCAAGTTGGATAGCACACTACTTTAAAAAAAAGCACATGAAATCTCTTCTTAAGTAAAAATTGTTATAACTACAAAATTGATAGTGCTCAAAATGACTAAAACAGCAGTAGTTTCGTCTATTTTTAAATGCGTTTTCTCGAAAACCACTGCATTAAATTCAAAAAAATAGGCACCTTTGAAAAGAGAATTTGATGACCTTCAAAATGAGGTATCACTTGACCCCTACTGCCATTTAAGATTTAAGGGTTGGAGCTTACCCCCGTGAGAGGGTTGAAGTGACAACATTGAAAATATGTGCAAAATATTTCCCCCTCCGAATAAAAATCGACGGGTCCGAGCGATTTTTTTCAATGAACGATGAATACGAGATATCGACCTTGTTTCGTTTTCGCTGGCCCACCCTGTATAAATAAGCCTTGCCAAAAAAATAGTTAAAAACAAGTGGTTGAGCTTTTAAATTGGCATATTCTGTACAAACAGAAACCTTCAACGAGCCATTATACCTAAAAGCTTTACAATTCCTTGGTTTGCAAATATAAATGAGGATTAGTTATAAACTAAGTGCCAACATGTTTAGAAAAAAAGTTATTTGTCTAAATTATGAGGGTTGCTTGTAAAATTTGTATCATTTCCAGAACCATATTGCCCCATGTATTGCATAAATAAATACCCCAATAGTGTCGATAATAGGTGTGCTTACATTATATGCAAAATATTTTACATTTAATTTCTATAACTAACCCTAACTAACCCCTATTGTAAGAAATCAATGTTTTGAGTTAACGAAAATACAGGATTGGACTCATATTCACCTGTCAGCAACTTGATTTTTTCAAATTCACAAGACCTGTTAAATTCTGAGGTAAATTGATGACTTGATACATTTCAATAGTTGCTGGCCATTCTCCTCGGGGTGTGAAATTATACAAAATGCAATAATGTAAATAAAAATCACTTAGGCTTAGACTTATTGAATAATAATTATAAAATCGCTCATCAAAAGTTATTGAAAATTTTCAAAAGTACCTACTAATGCAGAGTTTACCATTGTACAATTTTTTTAACTCTAGTAGACAAGTCGCATAATTGCCCAATTATCAAATCCCACAAAGATTATAAAAAAGTAAGATAATTAATTTTAACTTACTTTTTGATGAACTGTTTCCCAAAAATGTACTAAAGCAAAGCTTTGCTGTTAAAACCTTTAATAATTTTTGTTTCAGTTGGAGGCTTACAACCATACATTAGATGTTTTTTCACTCTAGCCCTGAACAATAACGTTAAAATGGCAGTACCTAGTCGAGCCAGAGTTTATGCGGATGTAAACTCTCACAAACCCAGGGAATATTGGGATTATGAAAGCTATGTGGTGGACTGGGGACAACAAGATGATTACCAGTTGGTTCGAAAATTAGGAAGGGGAAAATATAGTGAAGTTTTTGAAGCTATAAATGTAGTTAATAATGAAAAATGTGTAGTCAAAATATTGAAGGTAAAAAGTTTTCTTATTTATATATTTTATTTTTTAATTTATAATTTCTAACATTTATTTTAGCCTGTCAAAAAGAAGAAAATTAAAAGAGAAATTAAAATATTGGAAAACCTTAGAGGTGGTACAAATATAATTACTTTAGAGGCAGTGGTTAAAGATCCAGTATCTAGGACGCCTGCCTTAATTTTTGAACATGTTAACAATATTGATTTTAAACAGCTATACCAAACCCTAACTGATTTTGATATAAGATTCTATCTTTATGAACTGCTCAAGGCCCTAGATTACTGCCATAGCATGGGAATAATGCATAGGGATGTAAAACCACATAATGTTATGATTGATCATGAGAATAGAAAGTTACGATTAATTGATTGGGGTTTAGCAGAATTTTATCATCCTGGGCAAGAGTACAATGTTCGTGTTGCTTCCAGGTTGGTAAAGATTTATTAACTTAAGCTGACTTAAAGTAAAAACTTCATTGACATTTATGTGTTGATGATATGGATATCTACTCTTGCTTCACTTTATTACTCTTTTTCAAGTTTCAATAGGTCTGTTCTCCTAAAATTCCCTGACAGTTTGCAAACTGGCAGAAACAATCGCGCATCACTGATTTATATTGGAACAACGGCATTGAAAGCATGTATGGGCGATGCTTTCTAACAGTTTGCAAACTGTCAGAGACTCTTGTGAGAACAAACCTATAAAGTAAGCAACATCAATACCTAAATAAATAGATTCCTAAAAATAGCCTACCTATCCGATAAAAAACCAGCAAAGTGTGCAATGAGCCAACCCAAATCACTGCATCCAACGTGATGGCAGAGGTTGAATTGAAACTAGTATCATTGCCCACGTTCAGTCGTGCTTGGCATGTTGACTGGTTAGTCAGCGGATGTATTCCAACAAATAAAATACAGCAGATAAAGCCGTTTTGATTGTGATCTGTTTTCAATACAGCCAATGATGATTCCTTAATATGTGAGCTGGACTGAAGTTGACAAAGAGCTCCTCATTTTGATCACAAATTGAGTGAAGTATTTTGTTAAAAAATAAGTAGTGTTTCTTGCATCATGTGGTATTTTATGATGCGAGAGCGAAACAAAATATAATGTCAGCATAATAATAATAATTGACAGAGCAATTATTCTCATGAGAACACTGTTTCTAGTTTCAAGAATAGACATCCAGAACCTTGTTGCATCACCCATCATCCACAAATAATGTGAAGAAATGGATACTGGTTGAAATTTATGTTATTTGTTGTTTTAGATACTTCAAAGGGCCAGAATTGCTTGTAGATTATCAGATGTACGATTACTCCTTGGACATGTGGTCTTTAGGCTGTATGCTCGCATCTATGATATTTAGAAAGGAACCTTTTTTTCACGGACATGATAATTATGACCAGTTAGTTCGTATTGCCAAAGTATTAGGAACTGAAGAACTTTTCGAATATCTTGATAAATACCATATAGAATTAGATCCTCGATTTAACGATATTTTAGGAAGGTATGTGTTCTTGGTAATCATAACTTTCTATTTACAATTTGCTTATGTAATTCTAGGCACTCGAGGAAAAGATGGGAACGATTTGTGCATAGTGAAAATCAACATTTAGTATCTCCTGAAGCTCTAGACTTTTTGGATAAGCTCCTGCGATATGACCATTTAGAACGTTTAACAGCTAGAGATGCTATGGAACATGCCTATTTTTGTAAGTAGTTTATCAATTTCCATTTAACATTTTTAACCATACAGTAATATCAGAAAATTTGGGCATTCAGAAAACAGATATCTCCATTTGGTGGAATTGTCTGTAAGATTGTTGCACCACTTGCTGTCAGAGATTGGTGGTTGATCTGTCATCTCAACGTCTATGATCATGCTGCTGTTTCCAAGAACCAATACCTAGCGATACATTTATTCCAAGCCTAAATAAATAGCTATTATTTGAAAGTGCATTTTTGCACTCCATTAAAATTGAGCTTTAATTGCAGATTTGATGCCTCGATAGTGAATAAAGTAGTTCCAGCAGCTGACGATGCTTCTGTGAGACACCACAAATGAATGTGTTCAAGATTCTTTGACAATTTAGATTTCATATTTTCTTTCCAATTATTATTCTGTTTTTTATGAACAGGGTTGTATTATAGACTGATGAACCTAATTTTGTATGCTTATAATAATCCTGTAATTAACACATTGCTAGTACAACAAAATAATCTGTCAGATTCTTTTAAAACAGTCTGCAGCATGAATTATAAAGGACCGAAAAAATGCAGTCCAAGTCTGACAATAGTTTTTGGCTATCTTAGGATCATCCTGGCTAGGTTCTCAAATTCTGTTGCTACAAGTTTTTGTCGTGTTTGCTTCCTCTCCCCATGCAGGCTTCGTCCTTTATCTTCCGTGCTGGGGACTATAGTTGCTAATATTTTATATTCAAAAAATACATTTCACAGATATGCAAAAGTAATTGTCAATAAAAATCACGGGAAAATCTGTTACTATCAAAATAAATGGGAAAAATCACATTTTATAAAAAACGATTAGGTTAAATTTGTTTAAAAAAAAAAAATTGAATATAGTATATCAGTTACGATATGTTTTTTTTTTAATGTTGAACTTGAGGTTCAGAGACTAGCAAAAATGACTATACAAGCTCTTGGGAGCCGCTACTTAGCTGTTTTGGTATTTTGCAAATGTAAACAGAAGCCCAACAAGAAATGCACCTTGTATAAGAATTAATATTTACTATGGAGGTTCTGCGAGGAAAAGTTTTGGAGCCCAAAATAACACACACCACAGAAGTAGACTAACGGGAAATTACGGATCATAACAAATCAATGTCAATATTTTTAGACAATCATCGGCACGCGTCATGCCAACGATATAACAATTTAATGTCAAGTTTTTTTTTTTCAAATAAATATACCTAGTGCCGGTACTTTTGCTCTCATTTGACAGCCGTTAAAAATAATCAGGGGTTAGAATGTACTCTAACCACATCATACTTATACACCTTGGCCCATGCAAAATTTGACATTGGATCAAATTCGTTAATCGAGAGCAAAAGTATTGGCCCCTAGTGGTATGACTAAACTGGAATTAACTATAGTGTTATCGATTAACTTGCAACGCTTTTTATTTTGTCTTCAGTATAGTTAACTAACATGTATGTAGCTTTTCAAAAATTAATTTTATAGAATAATGTAATAAATACTATAAAGATTTGCTTTTTTTCCAGATCCTGTAGTGAAGGAACAATGCAGAATGTTGTCTACGGTGTCTTCTTCTCCTACACCAGTTCCGGCTGGTTTGTCTATTGGAGCAGGAGAGTAGGTTCTTATGAAATTGAAAAGAAAACTAGATTATAAAGGGCGGTCAAGAAGAGTGCAGCATTTAATTCTTGAATAAAATGTGTATTTCAACTTCAAATTCAAAATGCATGAAACGAACAGTTTTTGAGGAGCTTGAAGTGGGATTTATACATTCCGTACTGTATCCATAAAGTAATCTCAACAAACCAACGCATTCCAAAAATTACAATGTATACATTTATCGCAGTATAATATGGCGCATGCGTCGTGAATTGTTAAAAATAAGTAATTAATTATTGTTATATTTACAATATTTGCATGCCCTTTTCTGATACCGAAGGCCTCAATGGTCATACCTGAGGTTTGCCAGCAGCTGGGAGCTTTTTTATTTTGTTATTTTTTAAATTTATTTATGCAGCGTTTTCATTGGTCCAACGCAACGCAAAAAGTTAAAAGGTGTGTTAAAGTACGAATTGTTTCACCTCAAGTTTCAACTAATTGCTTATTTTCAACTTCTCAGGGTAGAGCTATGATTCTGGTGCATCAATCTATAAATTGAGCCCAAGCCACTTCAAAAACCATATTGTTGATAAAACTGAATGTGTAGAAATTTCAGTACGACTTTGAGAAAGGAACAGTGCCATTTTCAGAAATTAGGTTTATTATACAGTGCCCGCGAAAAAGTCTGCACCATATGAAATTTTTTTCTGCTCATCCTTACTTCATATCGGTTTTCGGCATTAGGTTCTGCAGGACTGAAAACCAAAAAAATACCTAAAATTTTTGACTCGAGTCTTGCCTCAAATGCCATTTGAAAATTTCGAACAAGGAAAAGTGGCATTTTTATAAAAAAATATGAAAAAATTTTATAAGAAAATATTGTTCCAAATGACATTTAGGAATAGTTTATAAACAAACAATATGAAATTTCAATTTGAGAAATCTAAAATTTTCAAAATAGTCCAGAGGCGTATCAGAATTTTAATAGAAATATTTCTTTTTGATGTTCAAACTCTTAATTAGATTATTAAGCTTTAAAAAACCATTAGTCAGATACAAACTAATTATTTTAGAGGAATGGTCGCGAAAGAAATCCTAAAAATATTATTTTTCCGTAGATATTCGAAAAAAATTAAAAAAAAAAAAAAACTAATTTTTTTCAAAGTAAAAATATCAAATTAGACTAAAAATGTCATTTGGAACAATATTTTCTTATAAAATTTTTTCATATTTTTTATAAAAATGCCACTTTTTCTTGTTTGAAATTTTCAAATGGCATTTGACAGGTGTGAGGTAAGTCTCGAGTCAAAAATTTTAGGTGTTTTTTTGGTTTTCAGTCATGCAGAACCTAATACCGAAAACTGATTTGAAGTAAGGATGAGCATAAAAAAAATTCCCATATGGTGCAGACTTTTCCGCGGGCACTGTATAGACAAGAGGATCAATCAAATATGTTTGGTTGTTTTGGATAATTTTCACAATTATTTATTTAATACCAGGACTTCTATTGTTTTTCAAACAACATTCTTTCATTTTTATTAAACATTTTTATCGCGTTGTAGAGTTCGTCATTAAATCAAATGTGGATTGGGCAAGTGCAGCACTCGCTGGCGGCGAGTACCATACTGCCAGTTTCCTATATTTTTTGAAGACAACATTCAGGAACAAAAATACAGGAATTAAAATCCTATTTTACAAAAATATAGGTCTGCATGACCAGAACCCCACACACATTTCTGGAACACAAATAATACTGTTCTAAAAAGAGTGTTCGTACAAGATCCCCAGTAGCAAATTCTGTAGGATATATTGGATTGAATTAAAGAAAAATAGATGTTAACCACATTCTGATAATTATCATGTTTACAGAAAGGTTGTCGCCAATGACATCAAAACACAGATAGACGGATCATCCCATTCATAAACTATTATTTGTTGTGTTGACAAGACCACCCATGGGCCAGGGGAGGTGAGTTGCTCGCGGGGTCGGGGTAGGGAGACATCATTGCTCAAAATGGTGTAAAAAACCCCGCCCACACGTGAATATATCTCGAAATTTAATTGGATGAATAAATAAAATAACAAATTGACAAATAAACTGAAAATATTCGATACGAGCCCTTTATTCTGGGAGTACCAATATCGTGTTAGTCGTTTCTTGTTTAACGCTAATGAATAATCCCTGTTTGCAATAAAGATAGCTAGCTACTACAATCAACACCTGCCTGCCATGCAACAAGCCGCTTCTGGGCGGTGTTTTGCTTTAATCTGCTGTTGCCAAATTGAGTTCAGAAATAAAATTGAAAATGTTAATTAGAGGAGAAAAATATATTATTTAGGGATTCAAGACAAAATTTGGCATTCTCAGTGGTGGGGATAGCACAAAGACCCAAAAGAGACAGAGAGATGTTGTCATACGAAAATTTTGTTTATTGTTCGGTCTATCTGTGTTTTGATGTCATTGGTTGTCGCTCACTGGAGCGCAGCGCACGGCAGTAGAGGACTTTTCAAATACATTGTTTTAAATGGGAGTACGCTCACTTGTCGGAAGAGCACCGATCGGCATACTCCCATTTAAAACAATGTGTTATGAAAAGTGCTCTACGCCGCGCTTCCGTGCGCTGCGCTTCAGTGAGCGTCAGCCTTTAAAGGTTGTCGCTCACTGGAGCGTAGCGCACAGCAGCGCGGCGGAGAGGACTTTTTAAATACATTGTTTTAAACGGGAGTACGCTCACTTGTCGGAAGAGCGCCGATCGGCATACTCCCGTTTAAAACAATGTATTATAAAGAGTCCTCTACGCTGCGCTTCCGTGCGCTGCGCTCCAGTGAGTGTCAGCCTTTAGTGGTCCACTGCTGACATTCAATAAATTGTTTTAACATTACTATTTTTCAAAAATGAAGTTGATTGTTGAGTAAGTAGTTTATTAATTTTCTTATAATCTTCTCCAGTTTCATTGTTTACATCAAAACTTTCTGAAACCGTATTCCAGCTTCTTTTCTGAATTTAACTAGGTACTAAGAACTAAGAAAGTGTTTTTTTTCTTCAAAAATTTGTTTTGCTTGGGTATTTTTAACTTCAATGACACTGTTTATCTTAATTATGTTTATCATAACTGCACCTTTGTCGGTAAGGTCTAAGTTAATGGGAATCATAATTGGCCACAGAGATCGTGTGACGCCATGCAACTTCTAGCTATTATCTTTTGTGAAGTCTCATGCATATTTAGATCACAGATCACCCAACACTGAGTAAAACTAGACACTCCATCTAAGATATTGATCATGATTATTCTGGGAAATTTCATCAAAAGAACGAGAATGTGCCAGCTAAGGCGGGGCTGTTGTATTTACATACCTGAACGGGGCTCAATATGCTATAAGTTGAAATAGGTATACATGTTATTTTACCATTTTGCAAAATCATATGCATTTTATTCAAGAATTAAATGTGACACTCTTGTTGAAGCACCATTTTTTTAAAAATTTTGTCAGCATATTCTCATTTATGCCATACCATACACAATAACATGTTAAATAGGTAGCAATCATCATTTGATTAACAAATTATAAGAAAAAATGCTTTCATGGTATGTATTTCTTATCAAATACATATTTGGCTGTAAGGAAAAACGAACTTTTGCGCAGTACAAATGTTTTATTAATTGAAGTTTTACATATATATATTTCAATGGCAGAACAAAAATTGAAAAACCAAAAATACTGAATATCTTGAAAAAAAAACTTCTGATTTAAAGTCCCTTTGATAGCTTAGCCTCAAATGCATGAAAAAATTTGAGTTGTAAACCATTCATTTGATAGAGCATGTTTTTTTTTTATATTGGGAGTGGAAATTATTAAAATATACTTTTACTTGGTGGTGAAGACTGAAGATTATAGTTAAACCCTAGAGAATTGAGCCTTTCCAATGTACTATAATGCCTTAATGAAAAATGATGTAATAATAATTATTGTACTTACCTATCAATTGATAAAATAGTTGTATGTATTCTGATTTGGGGAATTACTGTCTGATTTGAATATACCTACTCAAGTGCCCAATTCGAGTTGAAAAATTGGATTGCTTCTGTGGAGATTATTTTCTATAAACTCAAATTGGATTAACGCTTGCATATGGTGACTATAATCCAACATAAATATAGACATGACCCTTGGCTATATTGGCTGTGTACTGATCAGGTCCGATTCTTGACTTTGAAAGTAGCACTGCTCAATAAAACAATTATTCTGTTGTTCACTAGCTACTTACAGTAACAGACCAAAACATATTTTCTCCTGGGCTGTTGCTTCCCGATTTGAGGATCAACCTTTGGCATTATATTAATTGAATATATTGTTACTGTGTTTATGTTTAAACTTCCAATGATTTAATTTAAAGACAATTTACCAGCATATTTTAGGGAGATGGATTGTATAAACTCCTACAGTGTTTTAAGAAATTGCCAACCTACAGAGTATGATGTCTATTAGAAAAAAAGTGTTTTATTTTTTCCTAAATAGGATAAATGAGAAGCTCCTCCATTTAGAGATATTATATACAGTTTAGTTTGTTGGTGATTAGGACAAATAAATGTATTATAAGATGTGTCTTTTTTTTTTCTATTCCTGTTAAAGAATTGAATGCCAAACATAGTGAGATATTTGAATGTTTTTGTCTTCATTATTGACAAACTAAACTAATAATACTATAAAAATGTAGTGACTAAGTATCCCAGTCATCCATCATCCCAGACCTACTATCATCTCTTTGGCCCTCTGTATGTTATGGGGTGGACACCCTCGATGATTCTCCAAACATTTGAAATTATATGTATTCACGTTTTAATTTTTTTAATCAGAAAATTCACAGTACAGAGGGTATGTGCAAATCCACTGCATTTTCCTCATAATATGCAGTTGTATTGCTTCTAGACGCAGGTAGCTAGAATACCTATGGAATTGTGCTTTTAAGATGATGAGAAGAAAATTGAGTTCCCATTTATCAAATACTTTGCTAGCTACCTACGTTTCAAACTTCTTGGCCCTCTCCAGTACAACACAAGCAGAATACCAAATCAGATACCAAGATGGATATAACTACCAAAATGCCATCGCAGGTTTATTGTCTGTTGCTCTATCCAATTATGTCAATTTCAAAAATTAGTGAGAGTCAATTCTAAAAATAAGAGCTTACAGTTTAAAATGATACTAAACGTGTGGACTCGCCAAATAAAATGAGATTATATTTCCTAAAAATGGAAATAGGCAAGCTCCCTTGTACACCACCAGCCCCTTTGTGTTTCTAACAGAATGCCCAATTTCAGTTGTATAAACAATTTTTAGATTATGAACTTAAATTTATTTTCCGAGAGCTTTCTTATTTGGATAGGAAGTTGGTTATTTTTTTTTTGCCCAGATACCTGGGGACATTCTGACACCTCTTCAACCAATAGAATGATGTGTTTGTGTCGGGTTTCATAGCTGTGGACATTATTTGACACATATAATTTATTGTCTTGTTACAATTCCATCTTTATTGTATTGTTTTCTTCCTGTATTTTCTCGGATAAGCTCTGGATTCGTTGATAAATGAATTTGTACATAAATCACGTCGGTTCCCTGTTTGCCTTCGTGTGAAAAAAACCAGGATGTATTGGGAAGGAGAATGTTTAAAAGGTCTTTAAAGTCCCCTTGCGATCATCCAGGACCAGGAATCCCAATCCTGCCATAATGGGGACAGCCTTTGTATAAAAACAGAGGCACGACTACATACCAAAAGGATCGTTTATTTAAAAATGTCCTGCACCTCACAAGTTACGTAGGTAGAACCCTTTTCTAATGCTTATTTTATTTTTCCTTTGCAAAAAAATGGTTGATTGAAATTAGTAAACAGACAATCAATCTGTCAAATGAGGTTTTGTATGGGAGGGTTGAAATAAAGACGTTACCTACTTGATTTTAATTTTATTTAATTTGATTTCCTATAGGCGGTTACACACGGACGTGAATGTCTGAAAACATGTACGCACATACATGAACGCGCAAACAAAAACATCAATGTGTATGCAAAATACCGTCGCGTTTTTGAATGTGCAAACTGTAGAATGACACTCAAATGAATTCTGGAATCGCTAGAAATTTTGTATGCACACTCAGAATACTGTAGCAAGAGTAGCAAGACTGACAGTTTTTTGCGAGCGTCTGTACAAAAGTGACATGCACGTTGTTGTTTGCACGTATACAGTGTGTCCCGCTTAAGGACTGACCACCCTTCTAAAATGTTTATTTTTCAATTGATTCAATTAATTTTTTTTTTGTCTTATAGCTACTCGAATTTGGCACTTATTAGGCTCATAATTTTATTTATGCGGCTGTAATGGTGTACAGGGTGTCCACATTTATAGGCTCAAATTTCAATAAGCACTATTAGGGATTTTTTTAAGAAAAAATCTGATAGCAGATTCTTGTTTAGATTGGCGTAAAACCCCAATGTACTGATTTTTGTTTCAATATGATACAGGGTGATCACAACAAATTTTCAAAATTTAATGGACAAAACCGAAAAAATGTCATTTTTTGAGGCCTTGAGAACAACAAAACTTGATACAACATAGTTTTAGAACATCCTTAACCGAAACTTGTGGTAAGCTTGCCTCTAAATACAACATTTTTGTGGTTTGATTTCATTAAATTGTGAAAATTTGTTGTCATCACCCTGTATCGTATTGAAACAAAAATTAGTACATTTGGGTTTTAGACCATTCTAAACAAGAATCTGCTATCAGATTTTCTCTGAAAAAATCCCTAATAGTACTTATTGGAATTTGAGCCTATAAATGTGGACACCCTGTACACCAGTACAGCCGCAGAAATAAAATTATGAGCCTAATAAGTGCCAAATTCGAGTAGCTATAAGACAAAAAAAAAAATGAATTGAATCGGTTGAAAAATAAAAATTTTAGAAGGGTGGTCAGTCCTTAAGCGGGATACACTGTATGTATCAACCCATCCACGTCCATGTGTAACCGCCTTATGTTTTGACTGGCTTGGCCTTATTCATGTGCACAGCCGATAGTTAGCATACAGTGTCACCTATAAAACTTATGCCAAAATAGAATGATATCAGGAGACAGTCAAATATGTGATATTATGTTAAACAAATAGTTGGATAGCATTATAGGAAGATTTAAAATTGAAAACGTATAATGAAATCCCAACCAAACAGTTATATTATGTAAGACTTAACTCCTATTTTGGCATTTTTTCAACATTCCATATTATTTCAATCACCTTGAACTATCAAGTTCCAGTTTTATTCAAGTACAAGAAAGAAGCAAACAAATCCTCAAATTTAACTATAACAGACATCTAACAAAAATATAAGATAATTCTACTCTAACCAATAATCGATGTGATGATCTATGATTGTTGTTTATATTTTCACTTATGATTCCATCCAGAAAATATGTAACTCAAGTCTAGAAGTACTGATTTATTATACTATTTATAGACAGTATTTTTTCATATTCAGAAGTCGCAGAAGTTTCCCAGTCAAACACTTATGATGTAATGTATATTTGAATGTCAAATAATATATTGTATATTTGATAAAAATCAGAAAAGAGATTATTATAAAAACACCAGAGGTTAAGTTTTTTTTTTGGATATTATATTATGTACATTCTGAGAAACTTTATAAACACAGCTGAATAATAGTAACCACAATGATCGTCAGTGTTTTTTTAGGATGATAGCGAATTTTTATATACCTAATGTATATATTTAGTTAACCAACCAGCAAGAACCTGACTATTTTATTTATTATATTTATTTGTCGCGGTTATTCTATACACAAAACATTCGTTAATATTAGGAAGAGTTATTTGCTCATAAGTTGATCATCCATTATTTTACCTCCATAGAAGTTACTCTCTCTGTGGTGTAAAAATGTGTTAATGCTGCTACCAAATTGTAGAAATTGTTGATACCCTGAGTGTCTAATAATAAAATCAAACTATAATATGCAACCAATTTTTTTTTCTTATGTAGATATAATCAAGTGATTTTTTTTTTTAATTTGAAATAGCGGGTAATATTTTATATAAATTTGTTGTCTTCGTTGTTACAAAATTGTTTATAATATAATAATAATCATCATCATAGGCATCCATTCGCTAACGATTATCATAAGAATCTTGGACACCTTGCAACACATAAGTAATATATTTTTTTTTAAATTAGCACATTAGTTTCATTATCATTATTTTACTTATGTGTAGTTTAGGGTAATATTTGCTATAATACTGAATGTATTTTTTATAATTAAAGATCAAACATTAGAGTCACATTTAACTGTGACAAAAAAAATCCAAGTTTACATAGAATTTTTTATTTTTTTTTGTATAATGAGTATTCTTATTGATTTTAGTTTAAATTATAAACTTGGAGGGTTATGTACAAATTCTTCCTTTGCTGTATTTTAATTTATTCGAAGATTATATTGAATGCTCTAACATTGAAGATAAATAATTGGTGAATTGATTTATCAGCGATGTAATAAACTATTCTTTCATAAGAGAAACGTATCTTGGTTTCAATCGCAGAAGAAAATTTGGAATTACATTGTTTTATACAAAGATGAGTTTTGAAAACAACTCTGTTAGGTGTCATTCGCCATTTTATTATTTAGAGCACTCTGTATATAGGAGGTTTTTAGAAACCTTTTTGGCAATGTCTATCAAAAAATATATTATATATATTAGGTACCTAACTCTCGCACATGGTGTAATGTATTATTTATTATTTTGTACAAAATCAAAACATAGCTTTTATAAAACGCACTAAAAAGCAGAAAACAATTAATATATCTACATATTGTAAAAATTTTATCTTAACTTAGAAAAAAGTAAATTAATAAAAGCTGTGTGAAGAATATGATATGGGTAGGTTTATAATGAAAGTCTTTAGAACAGAAATTGAATACATAAGGTCTGTTCCAACACATCAAAACCGTCCCCTAAACGGGTTTGGAACCATTCTGCTTACGTTTTGGACTCTCCACATAGATAATTTTAGGTTTTGCGCAGAATCTCGTGACGGTAAATTGTATGGTTTTTTGCTGTGTTGGAACAAAGCTATAGTCTGTCTAATACACCAGACACATTTTTGTATTTATTTAAACTTATGCAACAAGGACACTGCGTCAGGTTGCTTGTAAATCTTAACAATAATTACCTCGCAAGTGTTGCTCTGGGGTATTAGATAAAAAAATTGAGTTAGGTACCTATAGATTTTTGACAGGCCTTGCTTTTTTTTACCTATTATTGTTATTATTTTTATTAATTAATTTAACAAAGTTCATTCAAAGATCTTTATTTTTTTTGTCTGTTCATTGTAGAATAACTTTTGCAATAAAAGTTTATATAAACAACGCGATTTTTATTGTGGAATTTATTGGCTTGATATACCTAATATGAATATGAACATGAATTTTGACACTCCAGGCAAAACCAGACTAGGATTGTGGATGTCGTTTTTATTCGGCACATTGCATACCATACAGTTTATCAGAAGCTGAAAAAACCCGTTTTATGCTATATTTATATTTATTGATGCATAAATTCAATATTTTTTACATAAAAATATCAGAAATACTCAGTAAGTTAGAGAAATTGGATGTTTCTAAAGGATCAGGTCCGGACAATGTACCTAGTATATTTCTTAAAAGCTGTGCTTTTTCATTGTCTCGTCCGCTCTGGCTTCTGTTCAATAAGTCACTTAATCATGGAATTTTTCCAATTAAACATGGGTGTACCTATTTTGCTGATCAGCAAATTGCTGATAATGCAGTTTTTGGCTGGATAAGCAATTTAATCGAATGCGATCAGTTTGTAAAGTTGCGGTTAGTTAGTAGAAGTGATGTGAGCCATGCAAACAATTGCCGCCTCCGTCCGCATCCATTGCCGCCCCCAGTATAGAAAATACGCCTGATGTATTGAATTTTGAATCCGATTTGATGCGATCACTCAGAAAGGGTGCTGTCAACATCAAAAATGATATTTAGAAGATAACCGCCCCCGACCGCCGCCGTTGCCGCCCCCCAGAATTAAAAATACGCCTGATGTGTTGAACTTTCAATCCGATTTGATGCGGTCACTTAGGATGGGTGCTGTCAACATCGAAAATCATATGTAGAAAATGACCGCCGCCGACCGCAGCCGTTGCCGCCCCCCAGAATCAAAAAAAACGCCTGATGTATTGAATTTTTAATCCGATTTGATGCGGTCACTCAGAAAGGGTGCTGTCAACATCAAAAATGATATTTAGAAGATGACCGCCCCCGACCCCCGCCGTTGCCGCCCCCCAGAATTAAAAATACGCTTGATGTATTGAACTTTCAAGCCGATTTGATGCGGTCACTCAGAAAAGGTGCTGTCAACATCAAAAATGATATTTAGAAGATGACCGCCCCCGACCCCCGCCGTTGCCGCCCCCCAGAATTAAAAATACGCTTGATGTATTGAACTTTCAAGCCGATTTGATGCGGTCACTCAGAAAAGGTGCTGTCAACATCAAAAATGATATTTAGAAGATGACCGCCCCCGACGCGCCCGCCGTTGCCGCCCCCCAGAATTAAATACACGCCTGATGTATTGAACTTTCAATCCGATTTGGTGCGGTCACTTAGGATGGGTGCTGTCAACATCGAAAATCATATGTAGAAGTTGACCGCCCCCGACCGCAGTCGTTGCCGCCCCCAGAATCAAAATTACTTATATAACTTTAACAACAGATTAGAAAATACATCTTAACACAAGGGGCTATGATTGACAACTTGCAATTTTATGACTACCCAACTGACATAACAAGTACTACTTGTCAGTTGACAAAGCTGTGTATAAAGGTTGGTTGCCACCTACAATAATTACAAAACACACACGTATATCACACACAGCACCCTTACTAAGAACCCGCATCAAATCGGATTGAAAATTCAATACATTAGGCGTAATTCTGATTCTGGGGGCGGCAACGACTGCGGTCGGGGGCGGTCAACTTCTACATATGATTTTCGATGTTGACAGCACCCATCCTAAGTGACCGCATCAAATCGGATTAAAAGTTCAATACATCAGGCGTTTTTTTGATTCTGGAGGGCGGCAACGGCTGCGGTCGGCGGCGGTTATCTTTTACATATCATTTTTGATTTTGACAGCACCCATCCTAATTGACCGCATCAAATCGGATTAAAAATTCAATACATCAGGCGAAATTTTGATTTTGGGGGCGGAAACGGCTACGGTCGGGGGCAGTCAACTTCTACATATGATTTTTGATGTTGACAGCACCCATCCTAAGTGACCGCACCAAATCGGCTTGAAAGTTTAATACATCAAGCGTATTTTTAATTCTGGGGGGCGGCAACAGCGGCGGTCGGCGGCGGTCATCTTCTACTATCATTTTTGATGTTGACAGCACCCATCCTAAGTGCCGCATCAAATCGGCTTGAAAGTTCAATACATCAAGCGTATTTTCAATTCTGGGGGCGGCAACGGCGGCGGTCGGGGGCGGTCATCTCCAAATATCATTTTTGATGTTGACAGCAACCATCCTAAGTGACCGCGTCAAATCGGCTTGAAAGTTCAATACATCAGGCGTATTTTTAATTCTGGGGGGCGGCAACGGCGGGGGTCAGGGGCGGTCATCTTCTAAATATCATTTTTGATCTTGACAACACCCTTTCTGAGTGACCGCATCAAATCGGATCAAAAATTCAATACATCAGGCGTTTTTTTGATTTTGGGGGGCGGCAACGGCTGCGGTCGGCGGCGGTCATTTTCTACATATGATTTTCGATGTTGACAGCACACATCCTAAGTGACCGCATCAAATCGGATTGAAAGTTCAATACATCAAGCGTATTTTTAATTCTGGGGGGGCGGCAACGGTGGCGGTCGGGGGCGGTCATCTTCTAAATATCATTTTTGATGTTGATAGCACCTTTTCTGAGTGACCGCATCAAATCGGCTTGAAAGTTCAATACATCAAGCGTATTTTTAATTCTGGGGGGCGGCAACGGCGGCGGTCGGGGGCGGTCATCTTCTAAATATCATTTTTGATGTTGACAGCACCCTTCCTGAGTGATCGCATCAAATTGGATTAAAAATTCAATACATCAGGCGTATTTTTGATACTGGGGGCGGCAATAGATGCGGACGGAGGCGGCAATTGTTTGCATGGCTCACATCACTTCTACTGACCGCAACTTTACAAACTGATTGATTCGATTAAATTGCTTATCCAGCCAAAAACTGCATTATCAGCAATTTGCTGATCAGCAAAATAGATTTTCCCATTAAACATCAATATACAGGGACACTTTATCCGTTAGGACAATAGGGTACTTGCATGAAAAATTAAATTGAATATTGTTTATTGCAAACTGTAGGAAATCGAAAAAAAATCGATGCGTGTTTTTCTATTTTGTCCAAATATGATTATTTCGGAAGTTATAACAAATATTGAGTTTTATATATATAGATATACTGAGCATGTGCGACGTCACAACTCACAACGTATTATACCTAAGTTATGACGTCGGAAGGACACTTCAAAGCGTTGTATCTCTGTCAATTTTTGACTAACAAGAAAAAGAAAAAACACGTGTAGACTTATTTTTCAAGGACTATCGAAATCATCAATAAAAAAATTTCATGCAAGGAGCCTATTAGGTCATGTCCTACGGGCCACTAGAGAATGAAGGCCAACTGCTGGCCTTTAATTTACAATATAAAATATAAAAGCCCACTATACTAAAAACATCGACTTGTTTAATAGCAGGACTATAGTCGTATTCACGAGAGAGTTTAAATTTTTACCGTTATTTTCACCAGTTGAAAATAAATAAAATCCCCAGATCTGTCCCTTTTTCTGACAACTGTCAAATAATGATACATGACATTTTGATTTGACACATAAAAATAACAGGATTCGAGTCTTTGAATTTTGAATTTCGAATTTTTGTGTGAAATCTTTCAGTTTTTTACCGTTTACTGCATTATTTTTTTATTTGTTATTCTCGCAATCGGTTTTTTGGTTTTTTATGTAGTGTTCTGTGCCTTTGTGTTTCGGTGTTGCGTTTCAAACCTGGTTTTAGTATGGATTTAAGTGTTTACTCTTATTATAAGTGTTTACTTTGGACTCTAATTTTAGGATTTTTGGATTTTAATAACTTAACTTCCTTTAAAGAAATTGAAAATAAATTTTTATTCTGAAATGTATATCACTTTTCTAAATACGACCCTGTCGTTTATCCCAGCTGACGGAATCGAAGCGCTAACGCATGCTGACAACCTAAAGAAAAAGTTTACTAAAAATATCAACGCGAACTTTCAACTTCACTTTCTATCGTGATTTAGTCTATAGCATATATTTCAATACCCTTTAATTCTTATAATTCACACTGCACAAGCACATTTGGTTTGGGCAGAGTGGACTGCCTGACGTCACGATGCTCTGGAATCGCTCCGCTCGCTCCACCAAGCATCAATCCGGAACACGCCCTAGAGTCACCGAGCTGCGCTGAATCGCCTTCGCGTCATTAGCGCAGCACACGGGCACGTGGCAACTGGAAAAGACTACAGCAGGAAACTGTAAAGGGGTCATTCCAATCCGAGCGACCGCGACAAGCGACCGAGACCGAACGACTTTGCGACCTTAGTCTCATGTCGCGAGGCGACAAATAGCTTACGAGTACACACGACTCCGGCTCGAGACCGGACCAACGACCCAGCAGGGCCCCAAAATACTGCTGCATTCTGCATTGGTGTGAACTTGCAGAAACCACTTCAAACACCAAAATGAGAAAACATTTAAGAAAATGTTTATTGGAAGACGAAGCAGAAGAGGATATAGTTCTGTTGACGTTGTCGCCAGGAAAAAGACAAAAAATTTATCCAAACCTACACATCAAAATCATATGAGGGATGCATCCAACTGTTTATCTTAAAAAAAAAAAGACATTTGAAGTATAAAGATGTAACATCGGATGGAAAGTTCAGGAAGTCGTGCCTTGTTTTGCTCATTAGCTTGTAGGACATGCACAGGCAACGTGGTACGAATATTTTCCTCAGTGTTGCAACCCACTTGCGTCTATTTCTCAACGTGACTCCTTCAGTATGCGCGTGCGCGTACTTTCCACAGAAGATTTTAAGGTTAGGTTTTCCTGTTTTGTTTTGATTTTGAACTTGTACTTGTTTCGTAACGTAACATTGTTTCTACTGACCCTAAAGTTTCTATTCACTCCGTTTAGGGTAATTTTTGTAGTTACATATCTGTTGATTCGTATCGTGATGGAGGGAAACAGTGAAAACATTAAAAAGGGCTTATAGATAAGTAAAAGTGATTGAGTAAGTCTAATGAGAAGTAAGTCCAGA